GCCAGAGCCACTCCTGTTAAATGGAATAAAGGGCAAAGCGAGAGGAGCCTGTGGACCTGCGAGGCTGGAGCTGAGCAAAACTTCCCTAAGTGGGAAAGGGTTGGGTGTGTGACCTTCAGAGGAGTCAGTGCCTTTGAAAAGCAAAACCCTTTACAGAGCAGTTGCAGCAGACTCATTATTTCTGGATTAAGGACAGATGGCAACTCAACCCGCATCGATCAGCGGGGTGCAGCAGTTGGTGGAGAGCTGATGAAACAGGAACCTCCAGGGGCAGAAGGGACTTGTCTGCAAAGGGTCCCATTAACTTCAGTGCGAGTCTGTGCTGTGTTTCATGTGGGTTATTTGATTCCCTGCACCAGAAAGGTCTCCTCCCAGCCCGTGCTTGAAATGTAAGAAGGGGCAGAGCAGGGAGTTGTGTGGTGAACAAGGGGGGATGAGTTTCCTGGAAGGTGGGAAGTCCATGAGGGTTGTGTCAGCTCAACAAGCAGAGGCTGAGGGATGAACTGAGTGATGGGGCCGCTGTGCAACCACTGCAGTGACCACACCCCACTTATGTCTCTTCTGCAGCATCTGCACTGAGCTGAAAGCACCTGTGGGTTGTGGAGCTCAGCTGCTCCACAGCCACTGCAGATCGTTCCCTTCATGGAATCATAGAATCCTTAAGGTTGGAAAAGCCCTCTAAGATCGCCAAGTCCAACTGTCAACACAGCACCACCCCCATGTTCACCATTAAACCATGTCCTTAAGTGCCATACCCACAAGTTCTTTGAACACCTCCAGGGATTGTGACTCCACCACCTCCCTTGGCAGCCTGTTCCAATGCTTGACAACCCATTCAGTAAAGAAATTTTTCCTAATATATAATCTAAAGCTCACCTTGGCACAACTTGAGGCCATGTCCTCTCATCTTGCCGCTTGTTACCTGGGAGAAGAGACTGACCCCCATCTGGCTACAACTTCATTTCAGGGAGTTGTAGAGAGTGAAAAGGTCTCCCTTCACCATCCATGTCTCCAGGCTGAACTCTCCCAGCTCCCTCAGTGACTACCTTGTTATCCAGCCACCCCTTTCCACCAGCCAGATCCTTTCATAGTGGGCAGAAGAGCCCAGTGTTATACTCATGGCACAGCATTTTTCCCCCTGAAAGGTAGGATGGGAATAACTTCATATAACAGACCCTTAACCACTTGTTTACAGCTCCACTAAAAAAGACAAATCACCTGAAACAGTGAATGACTAGACCCAGGAAAAAAAGGAAGATTTCAAAAGGTTTATCTGACAGCCAATAAACAGGATAAATAACATGCAGCATTTAGTTTGTCAGGACCATGGTACAACCTGATGATAAAAAAGGACTGCTCCATAAAGTGGGGAATACCTTTGTCTTGGCTGTAAATGCCTGTGTTGATTTAGGAAGTGCTCTGGTACTTCTCTAACTTCTCTTTAGTACTCACAAATGGGATGGAAACTGAGGAATAAGGAGAGGAAGGAAGTTATCTGTGCTCAACCTCATAAAGAGATCTCATTCCAGTTAAAGTTTTGAGATCATGATGGTTTTTATCTTATTTTGACTGGTTCTCCCATTGCTGAGGATAAGCAGAGTAAGAGCTACCCCCTCTACTCTGTTCTGATGAGACCCTCCCTGTAGTGCTGATCCAGCTCTAGGATCTCCAGCACAGGAAGGACATGGAGCTGTTGGAGCAAGACCAGGGGAGACACCAAGGTGATCAGAGGGATGGAGCAGCTCTGCTGGGAGGAAAGGCTGGGAGAGCTGGGATTGTTCAGCCTGGAGAAGAGAAGGTTTTGGGGTGATCTAATTGTGGCCTTCCAGGACCTGAAGGGGGCTACAAAAAAGATGGAGAGAGACTTTGGAGAAGAGCATGGAGTGACAGGACAAGGGGGAATGGCTTCAAACTGAAACAGAGTAGGTTTAGACTAGATATTAGGAAGAAACTCTTCATTATAAAGGTGGGGAGGCCCTGGCACAGGTAGCCAAGAGAGCTGTGGCTGCCCCATCCCTGGAAGTCCAAGGCCAGGTTGGATGGGGCTTTGAGCAACCTGGTCTGGTGAAAGGTGTCCCTGCTCATGGCAGGGGGTTGGAACAGGATGATCTTCAAGGTCCCTTCCAACTGAAACTGTTCTATTTTAAGATTTAAGAAGTCAAAGACTGGCACCTGTATCCCTCACTCTTTCCCATAGTGAGACCAGGCAGCACCTATTTCTGTATATATTTGAGGGGTCAATGTCATCACAATGGTTTCTATCCTGAAATGCAGACCTGTTTGAACAACCCATCATCAAACTAGGGACACCACAACATCCAGTGAATCTGGGTAACCAGTGTGCATTTTACTTACAAACAAAAGATAAAATAACTTCTGAAGACACTGGAGCAATTAGACATTTTGTCTCAAAAAAGCATTCCAGGGAAATAAATCCTAACCCCACCTAAGGCTTGTGTGGAGGTGCTTTCTGCCTAAACCTAACTCTAATCTGCAAGGGAGTGGGAGCAAAGAAAGACATCCTGAAAAGGGCAAGCAAAGTGTTGGTTACCTCCTAAAGGAGTCTAGTTGCAGGTATCCTATTGATCAGCTCAAACCAGGCATCAGGATACCTCCCATTATGCCAGTGGCTTCTCCTGTAACTGAAACACAATCTGTGTCCCAGCAGGAAAGAGGAGAGACAAACCTGTTTTCTCAATACTGTTTAGAAAAAGAAGCAGCACAGAAAGTGACTTTTGAGGGAAAGACAATCTTCTTCAAGGTCAAATATTTGTTGTGTGCCAATAACAACTCCATCCTCGTGCTGCTGCCAGGATCTCTGAGCTCTTGGCTGGCAGGTTCACTACCCTGCATTTCCATCCTGCTCCATTCTCCCATGTTATTCTCATTATTAAGTACCTGAGCAGCTTCCATGACCATCATCAGTGTGAATGTTGCTGAGCATGTGTTTATTTTCACTCTGTCTTGGGAGGAAAAGTCAAAGCATGGTGGTAGCAGAGTGTGAACTCGTGGCTTTATGCTGTGCAGGTGGATGAATATTGTCCCATCCCTGAGCAAGGGGGTGCTGATAATGTCCCTTTATTCTGATTTGGCATCTAGTTGGGCTTGTTTTTCCAGAGAAGGCTGGTGTCCTGCCTAGTGTGTGTCAGGAGCAGCTCAGAGCACAGCCACGATCTCCACTGCCTCAGAAATAGCAATACAGGGGGGCTGAGTCAGCTCGAGTGGATCATCTGCATCTCTGAATCCTCTGGTTCTTGGCAAGGAAAGAAAAAGGGGCTTTATTTCGTTTTTATTTTTAAAAGCAGCATTTGTCTTTTTCCCAGTGTTTCCTGCCTTCAAAAAACTGCATCTTTAGCTCATTATCTTTCTCTGTGCCTGGACACAGCACACAGCTGAATTTCCTGGACCCGAGGCATCTCCAAGGGTAGCTGTGGGTAATGAGAGAATTCACAGCAGGAAAAACAACCATAGGAAAGTGGCCACCTCTGGGATGAAGGGCCACCTCTGCTCCTCCCCATGAGGTGGGCACACGATGGAGCAAAACAGCCAGGCAGCTGAGGCTTATTTTAGCAGATTTTAGCTTGCTGCACACAGGCCATGAGGAGTGAACAGACCACTGAGGGATGTGACAGCTTATCCGTCACCTGAAGGGCCTGGATGATCCCCTGCTGACTTTTTACAACCCAAAACCCAGCTTTGCTTGGCTCCCTGCAGGTGTTTTAACTGTGGGAGGCAAGCCAGCCTCAGATGGTCTTCACGGTCCACTCTGCCATCAACATTTACGGACATTCCACCAGGGCTGGTTGTTCCTGGCAACAAGCTGGGAAGATGCAGGGTGGAGAAGCTGCAGAGGCTCAGAATTTCCCTTCTGCCAGTGGCAGGATCATCCCTGCAGCAGGAGTTTGGTGGATCCATCACCTGTCAGGGAGGTAGCTGGTGGGACAAAGGGGAAAAAGCTGAGTGTTGCTGACACCAGCACTGAGCATGGCTGGGAGGGGAAGCCTAAAAACCGTCTTCATCTCATGGTGCTCACAGGTTGCTCCCCATGGGTTCTGGAAGGGTGCTGGAGGGTGAAATCATTCCCCTACCAAAGCTGTCCTCAGGAGTGGTGCCTCTCTGTGGCTTGTCTGCACTGTGGGGAAAAGGAGTGGCCTTGGGTCATAGAACTCCCACCCTTATCCCTTCCCAGCTCCCTGGTCTTCACACAGTGTTTGTTGGGGGAAAGAGGAAGGAGACACAACCTCACTGATGCTGGATTTGCATCCTGAAGTGATTTCTGCTCATGTCTTCTGGGGTTAGAAGACAACACAAAATGGGCAGAAGGTCTTGTGAGAGGGAGGCCTCTTTACCACAGGAAGAACAGGACTACTTAAATCATAGAAATATAGAATATCCTGAGTTGGAAGTGACCTATAAGGATCACTGAATTCCAGGACAGCCCCAAGAATCTCATTACGTGCCTGAGAGTGTTATCCAAGCGCTTCTTGAACTCTGGCAACAGGAACAGGGAATAATTGAAGAGAAGTCAATACAAAGGCAATGCTTATCAATTCATCTCTTACGTCTTGACTTTCAGGTGGGTGTCAGTCTCTTCTCCCAGGAACCAGCTGTAGGACAAGAGGGCACAGCCCTGAGCTGTGCCAGGGAAGCTTTAGGTTGGACATTGAGAAGTTCTTTCCAGAGACAGTGATCATACCTTGGAATGGGCTGCCCAGGGAGGTGGTGGAGTCATTGTCCCTGGGGGTGTTGAAGCACAGCCTGGATGTGGCACTTAGACAAAGTGGGGTTGGGTCACAGGTCAGACTGGATGATCTCAGAGGTCTTTTCCAACCCAGTTGATTCTGTGACTCTGTGACTTTCTGGGCTACCCCGCAGTGCCCAGACTTTTAAGGACACCTGAGCTTTGGGGCTTGGCGGTGGGTACGTCGTAGGCTCTGCCAGGCCGGTATCGCCTCATCCTCCTCACTGAAGCTGATGAGGCTTTTCTGGATTTTGCCCAGGTGGTTGGAACTCGTGGTCGGCTTGGGGCGACTGCACCAAGGACTGCGGGGGAGGCCTCCAGACCCGCATGCGCTCCTGCAAACCCCTTCCCAAGGAGGGCCTCGGCTGCGAGGGAGTCCTGGAGGAGGGTCGGCTGTGCAATAGGAAGGCGTGCAATAGTAAGTGCAGGCATGTTCCCTTCGCATGTTCCTCTCCCTTCCCAGGAGGAGGAGCTTGGCCTTGTCCCTGTAAATGATTCGGGACACTCCAGAGGCACCAGGAAGCTGCTGAAGGGTCATGTTGGAGCAGCAGTCCCAGGGGAGCATGTGGGTGAGGCTGTGCATGGCCCTGCCCTGCCCTGCCTGCCTTGCATGCACATGTTGTCCAACACACATGCCTGCAGATCCAGGCCTTCAGCCCAAGAACTAGGGGTTAATCCATAGGAACCAATAAGCAGGCTTGCATCAGGTTTTCGTGTGCTGGTGGTAAACCTGCCACCGATGGCAAAATATCCATCCCTAAAGGCATTGCTTTTAGTTGGAGCCTCTCTCCCATATAGTTAAAGCAGGAAGCTGAGAGAGCTTCTCTTTTGCTTCTTTTTTGCTTCTTTTTGGTTTAGTTCAAGAGCAGTGATCCTGTCCCTCTCTTTTACAAAATGAAACCCACGGTGCCAAGATGTGGAGAAAGATCTGGCCATTAGAGAGACAAAATGCAGGGACTGAGCGAGGCAAAGGCTTCGGTGGATGCTCCACCCTCCTCCTGTAATGAACCCTCCTTCCAGGTCCTCTTCTCCAGGGAACAGGGGACAGATTGTCAACACCAGTCACATATCAATGGGTCGAGCTGGTGAAGCTCCAGCACTTTCATCCCCAGTTCTTCTTTTCCACAAGCTGAGTTGGGAGGGGGATGAAGAGGAAAAACCAACAGTAGACTCAGTTCAGCTCAGTAAATGCAAGCAAATGGCTGATTATGATTATTCCCTTCTTTTTATTTCAAATTCGTGGTGGAGAATGTTTGAACAACTCCTCTGATTAGTCAAATAACTAGGGAAAGTTCAACTGTCTTCAAAGGCTGGGAAGTATCTCCTGATAAAGGGGAAGTTCAAATAAAGGGACATAAATATATTCCTCTAATAAGGGCTAAAATGATTTCATGCATATTTTAACATTTCCATAAATTTAAAATATGTTGCAATTAGGCTTTTTTTTTTTTAATGAAACCTGGGATACTGAATTTCCTCTCCTTGACTCACAGTTGCTAATCTCCTTCTGAGGTTTGCCCGACACAAGGGATATTTAATCCATGTCCCCCTATACTTGCTGGTGACTTTATCGTTGTAACAGAGCTGTGGATTGAGGGTGGGAGTGCAAGGACATGGAAACTGGTCCTGAAAGACACTTGTGGGACTGAATGGCGATGGAGGAAGGGCCACACCAGTCCTGGTGGGCAATGGTGTGAAGCAGAAGAAGGTGGAGGTGGCACTGTGGGTGGGTAGAGGGTGATCTGCAGGGGTGGTCATTGTTTGAACATGGGGGCACAAGGGACAACAAGCAGAAAAGCTCCTTAGACAGCCCCTCACGTTCTGGACAAACTAGGGGGGGACCCAGTTCCCCAGATTCTCTTTGCAGGACACCCATCCTCATCCTTAACCATCTTCCAAGCCCCTGTTGGATTCTTTCACAAGTCCCTGTTGGACTTCAGCGCGGCGGAATGGACATTTTTCCAGGTCCAGATTCACCATAACTGAGCAAGGAGCAAAACATCTTCTCTTGATCTTCCCCAGGGATGAAACTTTGCCTCTTCTTCATGATAGTTCTACTGAGGTTGTGGTGGCAAGGAAGGATGGAGTGGGATGGTGGACAGCCATGGAGCCTGGAAGTGCGGGTTGGATTTCCAGCTCCTCTCATTGCACAGAGTACAGCAGTGCAGGATAAATCCTTATTTACTCACTAGTTACTCACTCACTTTCGAGAACACAACATTGAGTAAAGCCAATCCCAGGTGCAGCAAACCCTGATTGTACCCCAGACGGGTTCTGATTCAATAAATTATTTCACTATTGTCTCCCTGTCCCCTTTCCATTACATTCCCAGTCAACTCCTGCTCCAAATCACAGTGAGATGAGTTCAGCTGAGATTATTTGGGAAGAAAGGATCTTGAGCTAATTGGAAAGCCCAAGTTTGAAAAGAGAGCACACCCACAGAGTGGGGCAGCAAAAATGGATTTATTCCTTTGAAATAAATAAGTTAATTCTGATTAATTGTTCCAAAAACCTCTTTGGAGACAAGCTGCTGAGCCCCCTTGTAATAATTCCGTGCTGGAAAATATTTGAGGGAAGATGTGAGCAATAAACCTTTCAAGAAGACTTGTCCATGCACATCTTGAGGTTTCTGCCTACCTCAAAACAAACTTGTATCTCTTCATACCTCCCAAAACTGTGCATTTGGCTCTGAACTCACCTCTCAGTGAACCTGTCCCTTGTTGCCTTTGCCCAAGGAGATGCACTTCTGACCCAAGAAGAGTTTCTAATTTTTTTTGCACATATCTTTTCCTTCTCTTTGCTTTGATCTGCACCAAAACCTAAGAGGATTTAAAAGTAGATTAGAAATCCTGTTTTAAATGTGTCACTGTTATTTTCATATTGACTTTAGCTCATAGATTTGTTAGGGATGAGTAGGAACTTTGTTCTTTCACTGGAACTGTTATTTTCCTAAGTGTTCACTATATATTGCAGTTTAAATAGGTTCTATTTTGTTTTAATTAAAAAGAAACAAAAAAAAAAAAGGAAAAAAAAGGAAAAAGAGGAAGTGGTCAGAAGAAGAACTGTATCCTGAATTATTCAGCATTTGAGTAGCTTGTAATAATGCCTGAGCAGCTTCTGAGGTATTGTGGAGTAGCTGAGATCTTAATTTTCTGGTAGGAAAAACCCACTCTTTTCCTTGACCGAAAGGTCTGACAAAACAAAACAGGGATTAGCACTCTGATATTTTCCTTTTGCTGTGGAGATAAATTGAAACTTGTCCACTGAGAAGCTGCTGACCAAGCAAATTGTGTCAGAATAACACAAATACCACCATAACCTTCAAAACAAGGGCAAACCTATCTCTTTTCTTTGACTTCCCCTTTTCTTGCTTCTGCCAAAGTGTCTCAGAATCTGATGGATGATTAGCAAGAGAACTTTAGCTGTTTATTTGGATCTCCAGCATCTGAGGCAGGTTCTCAGTGAAAATAACTTGAAGTGCTGACACTCAGCTCCCTGGAGCTGCTGAGATGAACTTTTGTGGAAGATCTTTGAGGGTTTGATTGGTTGTTTTATTTTACCTGGACATGGAAAACGCTGTAAAGGGATTTAGTCTTTCTTGTCACTCAACTGTTCCCCCAGGTGGACCTTCTCCAGGTCCTGCCATCCTTCCTTTTCCAGCAGGATCTTCAGCAGGTCGTTCTCTGCAGGAGTGGAAATGGTGGCTCTCAGTGTTTCCAAGAGGTGTCAATTCTGCCAGTTTGTCACCAAAATATGGGCACAGACACCTCGTTCTTAGAGTTGACTCTGAACATATTGTCTGGAGGCCATAATGGTTGAAATCAGTGCACAGGGCTGGCTGAATGACTCCACAGGCACCACTTTTATGTGGTCTTTCTGTTTTTCCACTCATTTTGGCCACCATGTCTGCTCTTTCATGTTTTGGAGTGTCTTGCTGGATGTTCTTCTGGCTAAATTTCCCCAGGGATACATCCCCAAGCCCAGTGAAAAGTGAGCCAGGTAAGCTTTCCATGGGCAAAACCCAAAAGATGTGAAACACTGAGGAAAAACTGTATTGAAGGCTGATCCCAACCTGGAAAGGGAATTTTGTCTGGTAGCAGCAGCTTGGCTTAGGCAGAGCCTTTTTTTGTGGCAGCTCAAGAGACACAATCTGAAGGACAACACTCAGTTTTTATTGTAATTCTGATTTTTTCTTTGCTAGAAGCAAAGGACCAGAGACTACACCTACAGAATCAGGCAGCACGGAGTGATTTATTCCTTTGCAATAAATGAGTTCATTCCAATTAATTGTCACAAAATCCTCTTTGGAGACAAACTGCTGAGCCCTGTTTTGATGCTTTCATGCTGGAAAACACTTCTTTCAAGAAGACTCTCCTCATCTCCAGCACAGACAGGGGAGATTTCCTTCATCTCTTGGATTTGGCCAGGAATTGCTGTTTTATAGAAGGAAGAAAAAAATGCCAACCCAAGTGTGGTGGCAAGTGCTTACAGAGGAGTTTTCCAGGCCCTCCTACTATGGATGGAAAGGGACACCCACTGTGCTCCAGTGGCCCTTCTTGGCTGCAAATGGCCCTTCAGGTTCCTGAAGCTGTGACTGCTCAGAGGGTCCTCTCAGAGATCCTGGATGGACAACATCCAAACCAGAGTGGGAATGTCATAGGCCTGACCCTGGCGTGGGAACTCTGCAGTGCTGGAGAAATCCGTGAACAATCAGGCATGTGGGCAGCCTGCACTTATTCCTGGGGAATGAGAATCCAAAGAGGAGCCAGCTGAAATCCTGCCATCCCATCTGGCAGAGGCAGCACAAACCCATCCCTGACATTTATGAATATGCAGATTGGGCAGATGCATCTCCCCATGGCTGGGGAAGGGGTGACCACATCCTGCCATCAGCGTGACACTTGCATAGTCCTGTCATTCCACACTGGATTTCCAGCACCCAGCAAGTTCAGCATCAAGCCCTGCAGCTGTGGGACTGTGGTGTGAAGGAATGCACACTGCACATGACATTCCAAAGGCTGAGCCTCAGTCTCTGCCACCCCTGATTTCCATTAAAAATAGTCTTTTTGCTGCAGCCACCAAGCTGGAATATCCTGGGCATGTGTAGGAACATCTTCATTCCCTGCTGGCCAGGCTGGAACTCACAGCAAACTGGAAGAGCTCCTTGTCCTATAGATCCTACAGATACCTGCTGCTGCTGCAGAGACTTCACCCTGTCCCCTCTTTCAATGGTGGTGACACTCAGCTGATCTGAGGGTCCAGAGACATTTTCACAAGTCTCAGATGTTCAAAATGCTTTGGGTGATTGTTGGTGTGATTGCCACATATCCAGTGGCCTCCAAAATGACCCTCTTTTGCATCCACTAAGATCTTGGCTTTTAGGGGTTCTTGCTGATTCTACCTTTCTCTAATTTACTCTTTAGCAGCTGCCAGAGGTCGTAAAAACTCCACAACCACCACCTTTCCTTTCAATTTTATTACACTGAGATTCATTCACACCATTTGAATGTTTGGGTTTTTTTTTTAATAATCCTTTTCCACTCTTTGCTCTGGTCCATCCATTCATTCCCACCCTCCCAGCTTGCCTGGATAATTTTCATGATCCTGCTGTTTGCTTTGCCTCTCCTGTTTGGGGCATGAGCCCAGTGTGTGTGGCTCTTGTGAGACAGGCTTGGATGTTAAAACCTTGGCCCACAGCACTTTGAAGCCTTTACTTTTTTCCCTTTGGTTGTGTTCCAAGGTGCTGTCTGTGCCTTCCTCATGGCATTTATGCAGCTGGGATGTAAATCAAGTCCAGGCCTTGCTTTGATCCTGGAATTACTCCTCTCCACTGACCCTGCTGTGGGAAGCAGGCTGCTGAAATGCAACCAGTTCCCCACGGCCTTTGTTTCTTGGCCTCCACACCAAAAAGTTCAGGTGCATAAAACCCACAGCAAAGCATCACTTGCATCAACTTCCCCTCGTTCACAAGGGACCTGGCATCTCCCTGCTTTCTTTGGAACCAAGGTTGATTTTTGCTATTCCTCAAGGAACTGTCCAGCTTAAATCTAAGCCATGTTAGGGGTTAGAGACAGATTTGCTTCTCTGCAGTCCCTTTTCCAAGGGGAGACAGGCTGCCTGCAGCAGTGGAGCGACTCTGGAGGCTGTTTTTGCTGGGGGAGGCTTGGGACAAGCTGGAAGGGTCATTCATTCAGCCACTAGGCCTGATTGGCTTTAATTAGGATGAGAAATAGCAGTGCAGACTGTCAGGGAGCAAAGGAAATCATTCTGCTCCTTCAGAATCGAGCTCAGTCATTAGGAGATGTCAGTAACAAGGGGCCCAAATAAATGGTGAGAGGAGGTTCAGGGTGCCAGGGTGTCTCTTTTATCTTTCCTTCCTTCTGTCCTGTGTCCTATCTCTCTGTGCATCCATCCATCCATGCTCACTGACTGCTTCTGGGATACTCAGTCCCAAATTTTCTTTGTCACCTTCCTTGTTCTGGGCAGCTGGCACAGCCATCCAAGCTCCACATCTCCTCCTTGATGCCCAGCCCCACTTTCTCCTCCCAGCCTAAACAAGTCCGTGGGAAGCCTCTGGGATTTGCTGCACGTGGAGATTTTGTGTGCTCTTGTGGTTTGTGAGATTTCCTGAAGAGGATGCAAATCAGAGCAGATGAAGGTGGGTGGGTATAGCCAGGGATGGGTGGTGGGAATGGAGCAGGGTTTGTGAGAAGTCCCAAATATGGGACAAATTTAAGTTCTCTCTGAAGCAAACTGAAAAAAATGGGTATTGGAAAACTAGTTAGAGGTTGGGGTTTTTTTAATTGAATCTCGCAGAGGAAAGTCCCATGATTTTTGGCTAAAAAACCATAGTATTTGAGACCTTTCTATTCCAGTTAAAAGCCATATAAAAACAAGGTGTATGCAAATTCCAGGATGTTTGTCTTTCCCTTCAGGATGGCAGGGGGGGTGACTGCCTCATCCCTCCCGTCCAGCCAGCAACCAGTCAGTGCTGGGAAGGTTTGGAGGAGTCGCCGTGTCCAGTTCCTTCATTCCTCAAGTCCTGCTCTCAGACAACAGTGATGGCAAATAATACTATTTCACAAATTCTTCCATGATCCAACATGCTGAATATAAAGCTCCTGGCAGGGACTCTCTGAATCATTCCTCTCCCTCCTCTGCTTTCCCTTTTTGGATGGCAGTAAAGACTCCTGCCACCACACTGAAGCTTCATTAACCTTTATTAATTTTCTCAGGGTTCCGGGGTCAAATTTGTCACCATTTCATCTCTTGGTAGTTCATACTTCTTGAAAAGATGTCTGATTGTTTTACCTCCTTGGGGGGAAAAGGTCCTCCGTCTGGTACTTGCTGTTTGGAAACAAATTGGCTGCCAGATCTCAGATTACTGGGGCTCAGCTCTGCTCTCTGCTGTTCCATGTGACTCCAGTGGAGTCAGCTGAGCTCTCCTGATTTACAGCAGGCACTGCTGGTGGGTGGGATCTGGTTGTTGTTTCTCTCTTTGCTCGGGAGGGCACGTGTCAGGATTGCAACACACCCAATAACGTGGAGAACGGGAATTTTAGTTTCCCCTGTAGCAAATTCAGGGCTGATCCACACGGGATGAAAATGGAAAGCTGGCAGAGTATGGCTTTGGAAGAACAGGGGTGAGAGCTGTCAGTTAGGAGTCAAATGCCTTTGATTCACATTATTTACCTTCTGAACTCAACACCGTGGTCTCCGTGGGAGATTTCCAGATAGGACACAAGGGTCAGGAGTTCCTCTCTTCCACTGAGCTGGAAAGGTTCCCAGCCACAGCTCTGTTGGGACTTTGTTGATGCCAGACTTTCATCTCTCCTTGTTGCTGGTGACAGGGTATAGAGTCTGACAAAGAGACATCCTTTTGAGTTATCCCTTTCCTTTTCACCTGCCCTCACCTGCCTGCTCCACTCAGCATTTTCTGGTCCCTCTGCAGAGCATTTCTGATTCCTCTACAGAGCATTTCTGAGTAGATCTTTGCTGCAAGGCAGAATTTTCCACAACAAATTACTACCAGTCACCACCATAAACCTCAGAGCACTACTGGGGATGGTGGGATTCAGTGCCAGCACGTCTGAAGAGGATAAATCCTCCACAAGTGCAGCAAGGAGTACAGGCACCCTAGAAAATCATTGCAATTAAAGACCAGACATAAGGGATCATACTCTGCATGGTCCCGAGTCTCACTGAGAAAGAAGAGGTTGAGCTGCCACCCAGCCTGAGTCTCTCAGGCTGGCTTGGTGCTAAATTTCGGGAATTACTGGTGGCCAGGGGTGTTGGGGTTGGCAAGCAGGTGGTGGTGGCAGGTGGCTGTTGTTTATACGTGTAACCTTTGTAGTGAAAGATCTTGCAGAGTGAACCAAGGTGTATTTACATGACCCATTACCTTGCCATAGCCAATGGACGCTATAATTCCAGAAGCCAATCGCTGAGGTCCACAGATAACAGAAAGCGAGAGGACCCTGACGAACTGCAGCACTACGGGTACCCTGCACCTCAAATAGGTAAGCTCTGACCTCCCCCAGCAGCCCCTGGAGCTGGCACTGCCTGCTCCCTGCACTCCCTGGCTCACTGACTCTCTCCACTGTTTCAATGACCCCTCTAACCATCACTTTTCCCCCCAGGTTACTGTGGGGGAGACTTTCCCCCGAACAAACGCTCATCACCCAGTTTGTTCCCATTCCATCGCCCTGCAGGGTTTTGTGTTGGTGCCATCAGCCAGAGAAAGCAGAAAGGGTTAGACACAAAGCCCCAACAAGGCCATACATCTCACAGACTGCTCCTCGTCCCACTGCCTGAGCCCCACACATCTGAGCCACCGCTTTGTGTGAACTATCTAAGCAGCCATGGTTCATGAAGCCAAAGCTGACCTTACTGCAATGCAGCCTCTTCACTGATGTCCTTGTCATGCCTTCACACTGAGCGTAGGAGAGGGCAAGCAGGGCTTGGTGAGGAGAGAACAGGACTGATTTCCTCTGTCACTGGGCCTTTAGTGCTGTGCAAGGACTTGTAAGCTCTGCAGCAGGACCTTCCACCCTTCTGCAACAGAAGGGGAATAATATGTAGTAGTCTCAGAGGGTGTGGTATGGGAAGATGGGAATGAACTGGACCTGGGTTTATGCCAGCTCCAATCTGGCATAAACAGTGTTCAATCTGGCATAAACCCCTGACAGTGTTCAAGGCCTGGTCGGATGGGGCTTAGAGCAACCTGGTCGAGTGGAAAGTGTCCCTGCCCAGGGCAGGGGGCTTGGAACGAGATGATCTTGAAGGTCCCTTCCAAGCCAAACTGGTTAATGATTCTATGATTCAATCTGGAAAGGTTTTGTGCTCTCCCTTCATGGCTTCATTCTCTGGCAGAGTCATCATGGGTCTTGGGCAAAGCAAGGTGTGCTGAACCTGGCCACAGGTCATAATCATTGCCCAGTGACCTTGCAAGCATTTTGTGCTCTAGAAAGGCTTCAGAGAAGTGATTTCATTATAAGTGAGAGTGGGTCTTATTCTGGTGTAGGTCAGCTGTGCTCCATCCAACCCAGCAGGACTTTGCTGTGGTACAGTGTCAGGAGTCTGTGTGGGGTGGAGGCTCTGGGTGTGATCAGACAATTTTTGGGGTTGTGGCTTTCAACACAAGGCAAGGGATGGTCTGAATTTTCTTTCTACCCTACACAGAAACTGCTCCCCCCAGTGGGAGCAGCCCCACTGTCTGGAGGATCTGTGGCAGCTGGCAAAAGGCTGCAGGAGAGAGAGGACGTTTGTACCACTATAATCTGGTGAATCTCAGCTTAATCTCTCAGTCACACTTGGAGGAAGGGAGGGCACTCCAAGGCAGGTCCTGTGATGTCCCTTGTTCCTACTCTGTCTGGTCTCAGGTGCTTCCTCAGAGCTCTGTTCCAGGCTGTAGCTCTGCCATCAGCTTCATAGCTTGGCGTTTCTTCCTGCTGTGCAGCTGGATGCTGGATCTGGGCTCAGTGACATCCCTGTTAACTTCCTGCCATGGTGGGCACTGCTGGAGCATGGCTGGCTTTAGGCTGTGCTGTCCCTGAATGCAGCATGAGCTGGGAGATGTGCATTGTCCTGCTGCAAAGCTTCCCACATTCCTATCACTGTCTCAGGAGCACCAGCTACAGCCAAGCTGCTCCAGGAAATCAGAATGGAGATGTAGAAACCAGTCAGAAGGTACAGTCCAGCAAGGGATCAGAGGGAATCTTTAGCTGGGGATGCCAAGGCAAAGCCCACACTTTCCCTGGCTGTGGGCACAGTTTGTAGGGGATAAGTCACGTCACTTCAGCTCAAGACCTAGAAAAATATGAAATACAAAAAATATGCCAACCATAAAGGACTAGGGACAAGGGAACAGCAATGCCCAGTTGAAGAGCAGCATTTTCTCCTGCCAGCCCTTCATCTCCCTGGTACCCAGGTCCTGCTGGCCCACAGGCTCTGGCACAGCCGTGGTGCTGCTCCTGCCCACGTGTCTCTCCCAGCAATAGCACAAGAGCGAGATCCAGCTCAGCAGGTCCCTGGCACGGGCTCTCCCAGCTCAGACTGCTTCCAGGAGGACTTTGCCAGCAGCAGGATGTGAGCAGAGAGGTGTCTTGCACAGGGAGGGATGTCAGATTGACAGACAAGGCCATGGCAAAGAGGGATCCCGGCAGAAGGATGACAGGGATGTGCTGCTCCATTAGTGCCCAGGGAAGGAGTGTCATGGAGAAGCTGCAGGCACTGATGGGGACACACAGCCAGCTGAGCTCAGTTACTCTCAGGGCTGGCTAGGAGCTGGAAAGGATCCTGGATTGTAGTGGTACATCCCTGTGGAGTGACATCCAGCATGTCTCATTCTGCGGCACCTGCTGGACCCTCTCCAGCTGCTGCAACTGGATCTGTGGGAGCAACAAGGGCCATCTCCCCACTTCAGGTGGGGCACTCACCCCTGTAAAATCCTTTGGGATGCTCCTGGTCATCCCCAAGCTAGTCTGGAGCATTACAGAACTAATCAAAGGTCAACCCAGCAGGGGCAGCTTTCTCAGGCACATCATGATGGAGGGCACAGCGTGGCCCCTTCTCCTCTGGGGGCAGAGATAAATTTGGTTGAGTGCATCAGGGGGGTTGGAGCACCACTGCTCTGGAGCCGGGCTGAAAGAGCTGTGACTGTTCAGCCTGCTGAAAAAAAGGGTCTGGAGAGACCTTAGAGCCCCTTCCAGTACCTGAAGGGGCTCCAGGAGAACGGTAGAGGGACTTTGGATAAATGCATGGAGTGATAGGACAAGGGGCAATGTTTTAAACTGAAGGAGGATATATTTAGATTGGATATTAGCAAAAAATCTTCACTATGAGGGGGAGTGAGACACTGGAACAGGTTTCCTAGAGAAACTGTGGCTGCCCCATCCCTGGAAGTGTCCAAGGCCAGGTTGGACGGGGCTTGAAGCAACCTGGTCTAGCAGAAGGTGTCCTTGCCCATGGCGGGGGGTTGGAGTGAGATGATCTCTTAGGTCCCTTCCAACCAAATCATTCCATGATTCTATAATCTCTGGCAGGTCTATTATAAGACAGCACTGAGCTGTACTAGGTGGCTTTCAAGACCAATGAGCATGGTAGACTTCTTGCCATTACACCAAAATACAGAGCCAGAATCCACTTCTGAGATGAATAATTGGAATATGTTTTGCCCAGTAATTTGTATTTGCTGCCATCTGATCCACAGGAGTGCAGAAATTCTTCTCATCCACAGTTTTGATGATGGGCAATATTCTGCTCCTCTTGAGTGGAGAATGAGAGATCTTGTCTCATGCCTGAGAGAGTCCAGAACTGGGTCTCACATGGTTTGAACATTAGTTAAATTTCTGCAAGGCTTGAGACTTAGTCTGGGTGTAATGTCCCAGTAGACTGAGATAAATTGCTTAGTTCAAAATGACACCAAACCCAGGGAGTAACCAGCACGTAGAAAGTAAACTGTATTATGGGTTTAAAAGCCAGGGACTGGTGCAATGCAAGAGATGATAATTGGGGAGATTTGCCTCTAAGCACGGTTATTTCTGCTGTGAAAGGGCAAAAGCCAGAAGTAATAAAGAAAAGAAAGAGTCAGGAGAGGTGGAATTTGGTTCAAAGGTGCCATTCACTCAGACACTGAGACAGTAACTCTTGTCTGAATATGGTGTTTGCAAAACCCCACCCAGGTCTGAGTGGGGAGGTGATGGGATGGAGTGGGGAGGTGATGGGATGGTTGGGATGATGGGCTCTCCAAGCCATGAGCTGCTGATGGAGGAGGCCTTTGTGTCTCTGCAGGCTCCCTCTGTCCCACCTCTGGCCTCCCAGAAAAGACTTTGGGGCACAAAATGGGTGTGTTTCCCTACCAAAATCCCCCAGCTCCTTGTCATTAAGGGACTGGGTGCTCTGGGTGCAGGTCCTGGGGAGGTTGCTCAAGGCTGAGGAAGGGTGTTCAACAAGAATTGTAAGGACATTGTCTGTCCATGCAGCGCCCAAGCAGGCAGGGTAGCAGGAATGGTTGGGATCTGTGGGCTGAGAAGGGATCTCCTGGAGTCTGGGCCACTCTGAATGGGAAGTGTTGAAATGATGGTACCACAAAGGAAATTTGCTCATGATGAACTTGGAGGACCCCAGGACTGTCTGTCTGACAGAGCTGGTTCAGTTCCTTACTGAAAAGGTAGGAAAATTACCATGGAAATGCAGATCTTTGTATATCAGGAGATCTAATATCTGAGAAGCAGGATGTGGGAGCGATGGTTTCTTGAAGCCCCAAAGCTTTAAAACACACACTGTCTCCCACACATCCCAGATAAAGACCAGTGGTCCATAACATCCCTCTAACTGGAAACAACTGGGCAGATTAATGGAACAAAACACAAAAGCAGAACAGTATTGAGCAACTTTGGCTTAATGAACAACAAATCTCATTATTATCATTACAGTGGCATAGATGAGGTAGGGAAAGACTCATCCTCACCTCCACCTCTTTCTATGTCCAGCCAATAAATGAAGGAATAAAAGTTTGTCCATTTTACAGGAAAGTCAGGTCTTCCTCTACACTTTCCCCTCTCAACAGGCAGGTATTAGTTCCCCAGGCTGCAATTAGTGGGCATATTTTTAATTCACAACAACCTGAATGACAGGAGATATTCAAAGCAGACATGCTGAAAAACATGACACAAACCAAACAAAGTAGATAACTACCCAAAATCCCAACGAGTATCTCGATGAGGGACACAAACACTTGAAATCCTGCATAAAATTCCATAGCACATGGAAAACATTAGTAAATAAAGACACCACCTCGAGGAAAAAGCCAGACATGCACAACTTTAGGCAGCATTGGGCAGTTTGGTGGTCTACAACCCTTACAGTCCCCATCACAGCTCTGTCCTGATGCTGCTTTTCATGCAGCTGGTTTATAACTTTCACTGAGATCTCAGGCTGAGATCTCCAACTGTAGAGCCTCTTTCATGTTCCACGTTGCAGCTGGTCTGTTTAATACAGAGTCTGAGGCCCAATTTTCTCTGGGAATGGGGTGGTGGTGTGAGATAACACATCCAAGTGCTGGGTGCAGCCCAGGCTGTGCTGTACGACCCCTGAAGTCCTGCTTACCTGTTTCACCCAGCGCTGTGACACTTTTATCATCCATAGTCTGTCAGATGCATCTTTTTGGGATGTGACACAGTGTGGTCTGATGCTCTGAGGAACTTGTTGCTAGGAGGGGATGCCCCTCTGTGACACATCAGAGATGTGCTGCTGTTTATTTGTGCCATATGCCTGTGTGCTATACATACCAAATGTTGCATTCCAGGTTTATCATGTGTAATTATTAGTAATCCATGAAAAAGCTGAGAACCCAAACAATGCATGGCTTAATTAAATGAGACAGAGCCAGCTTTTGTTTTTGTGTGGGGAAGAAAGGCATTTTGTCAAGGGTAGATTTGTGCCTATGAAAACTAATGGAAAACTGTCCTTTCCCAGCCCATGTAACACTTTTGGTGAATTATCTGGATGCTGTGGCCTGCTGAAGCACCCCCAGCAGGGATATTAGTGACAAAGAGACTATATCTCATTGCTTTTCACTCTCATTTTTTGCTCATTGGGGTATTTTTACTTTCCTTTCCAGTGCTGCCCCAACAGGTAAGCAGTTGACAGGGACAGTGTGATGCCCTGGAAGAGTCAGCCTTGTCCTTTGTCACGTGCTCAGAGCAGGTCTCCACAGGCAAAGGAGATGCTGAGAACATTCTGTGGGACTCCTCCAGCTGACCCTTCTCAGGAACAGTCATTTTCTCCTTTGTCTGCTCCTCCTCTGCAAATCTGCGTTGGCAGGGGCTGTGAGAAGGCAGGGAAAGGAGTTAAATCCTTAAAACTGATCAATTTATGGACACATTTACTGTATCTGACTAATCACTGTTGCTTAATTAGTGCTCTCTCTCAGTAGGTGTTACACATCCCACGTGGTTCCTCAGTGGCTACTCCACCTCATTATCAGTGGTGGAGCTTGTCCTGCCTTTGATGCTTCCACAACACCCTTCCCTAATTTCTCATGTGTTTGTGTGCTATAGCTCTACGCAGCACCCCCCAAAAAACCCTTTAGCCCATTCTCAACCCTCACCTTTTCTCACCAACCCCCTTACCCCCATTTCTCACACCACCCGTAGGACACGTTGCGCAGCATCTCAGACCTCCGACAGCCGGTGAAGTGCAGCTTGGCATTCTCTTCCCTGGAGATCCAGGTGCCAAGGATCCTCACCTTCTGCTCCAACCCCAACAGGTGACCCTGCAGCAGAGGAGTGGTCCCCCTGGAGCGTGTGCTCGACCACCTGCGGGGAGGGCTGGCAGACCAGGACCAGGTTCTGCGTGTCGTCTTCCTACAGCACCCAGTGCAGTGGCCCCCTCCGGGAGCAGAGACAGTGCAACAACTCTGCCGTGTGCCCAGGTATCTGTGGGCACCAGGGGAAGGGAGATGCGTGGGGGATTGGCTGCCTGTGGTGTCTCCACTGTGATACTTCTGGAAAACACTGGCACAAGGAAGTTGTGGCCACCACGTCCCTGGCCAGGGTTGGACAGGGCTTTGAGCAACCTGGTCCAGTGGAAGGTGTTGCTGTTCATGGCAGAGGGTTGGACTAGATGATCTTTTAGGTCCCTTCCAGTCCAAACCATTCTATGATTCTTGAAGGAAGATGTTTTTTGTTCCCTCTTCCTTCTCTTTGTACCTTAAAGCCTCACACAGAGACCCTTGTTAGACCAAGCACCGTGAGATGGGCACCTGTTTTCCCTGCTATGGAAAATTCCATGCTGTCTAAAATCCAGGAACATGAGACACCTCAAAGGCAGGTGTCCTTTGGGGTATTTCCAATGTGGAGCAGACTGGGACAGATCTTATCCATGAGAGTGATTACCCACAGGGAATGTGCCTCTCCCACCTTAGATATCAGCTTTTCAGGGTGAGCTTAAAAAACCCGAACAAAATATCAGTGAGACCCTTCCCTTGCCTCCATAGTACTTTAACTTTCCTCCCCTTTTTGTTTTGTTTTGGGAAAGAGAAGCACGAGGTGACTCAGTTGCTCAGATTCCAACACTGGACATCAGCAACAACCAGTGCAAAATCAGCATGAAACACTCAGGATGTTGGTAGGTGATGAACCGAGAAATCCATCACCTCTGTTTTCATGCTCCTTCTCCCACAATTTTGATGAAATAGTATGTTCTGGGGAGACTGGAGCCTACAAGAAAGATGGAGACTTTTTACAAGAGCATGTAGTGAGAGGATAAGGGGGAATGGCTTTAAGCTGAGAATATGTTTAGATTGGATATTAGGAAGAAATTCTTCCCTGGGAGGGTGGGGAGGCCCTGGCACAGGTTGCCCAGAGAAGCTGTGGCTGCCCCATCCCTGGAAGTGTCCAAGGCCAGGTTGGATGAGACTTGGAGCAGCCTGGGATAGTGGAAAATGTCCCTGCTCATGTCAGGGGGTTGGAGCAAGACAGTTTTTAAGGTCCCTTCCAACCCAGACCATTCTACTATTCTGAGATTCTATGATTATTTGGAAGATTTATGCTGTTAAATTGTGTTATTCGTGTCTCCTGACCAGCAACATCAGTGTTCAAAAGCAATTCTACAGTGGTGAAACCGCCACCTGTGGTGAAAACACCATCCATGTTCTTTCCTGTATTTCCTTCTCTAGTTATCCCTTATCATGCTCAAGGCCTGGTGACAATTAGCTTGGAACACCCTTTCCTGGCACTGGGGCATCAGTCACTGTTGGCAACTGATGAAGGACTGGAAAAGTACCTGTTTTTTTGGGTTTCTTCTTTTCCTGAAACGTTATTGATTTGGCATTTGCTTTTCCGATAAAGCTGGAAGGGATGAAATCCCTCCAGAAAGCTCAGTGCATTCTTATAACATTTGGTCTCAAGAGATTACAGTGACTAAACTTCCATAAATATCTTGGCCAGATTAGATTAGATTAGATTGGAGAAGATTAGATTAATATAAATTAACAGGCTAATTAGATTAGATTAATATAGGCTAGATTTCTAATTCCAGTGATGGTTTGAGCACTGCTGGAGCTTGTTGCCCATTCCATTTTACTCTTCCAAGTATCCCTAGCTTTGCCCCTGTGGTGTCACTGACCTATGACAGTAATCAAGGCTACAGCTTTCCTGAAAGATTTAAAACGTTGTAGCCTTTGACAATTCAGTGAGAAAATGTGTTGAGGGACAGAAATAAGGGTAAGAAGTGAAAAAGTGATAGTGATGCTGCTTCCTTGTACCTCTCATATTTTACTCAAAAAAAGGATGTTTCAGCTCAAAAATCTAAAAAAAAAATCAGGGTGAATTAAAACTGCATTGTGGTCCGTGTCAAAGACTGGAAAGTAACAGGCACTTGGTGTCGATAAAAACCACGGCACAAAAATTACACGATGTTCCCCTTGCACAGTTTCGGGCTGGTTTGTTCTCGGCCTTCCCACGCGTTCCGGGTGGGAAGATGCTGTGCCCTGTGGTGCTCGCTCGCTTTCCTCAGGCCCTCCCTTGGGAAAGGGAACTCACTCCTTCTGCTTCCCCCGCAGTTCACGGCACCTGGGACGAGTGGTCTCCGTGGAGCTTGTGCTCCTCCACGTGTGGGAGAGGCTACAGGGACCGCACCCGAACCTGCAAACCCCCCCAGTTCGGGGGCAACCCCTGCGAGGGCCCCGAGAAGCAAACCAAGTTCTGCAACATCGCGCTTTGCCCAGGTAAGGACAGTGACAGATTAAAAGCCTCCCCCCTCCAGCAGGTCTCCCCGGCTCTGAAAACGCCCTCGCTCAGCCCATCCAGCTCCATAGGCGACTCCAAGGAAATACTGCCCAGCCTGCACTGTCCCCAGGAGGATTCTCTCTTAGGAAAGGGCTCATTGAAGGAGCAGCCTAAAGGGGCTTTCTGGGGTTATTCAGCTCAGATTTGTCTTGGGTTCACTTTTGCCCTCTGTAATCTCTCCCAGAAGACACTTTACATGGGTTGGATCTATTTCCGAGGCCATCTTAAGCTTCTCACCTGTTCTCTCCATTGAATTGTTTAAAGTTACTTTGCCTGTGCTTATTGTTGTGCTGGAATTAATTAATAGTTCTACTTGCTTGTAATATATGTGCATTAATTCACTGTATATGCAAGTTTAATTCACTATATATAGCAGTTTTCTCTGTAGCCGATCCCGCTTTGGGTGGTGAGATGGACTAAAACTTCTGATAGCCTTCCATGCCAAATACTTTTAAGTACCTTTTCCCTGCCCCTAAATTTCAATTCCAGATGCCTCTCCCTGAGTTTTGGTTCGAAACACCAAAAAGAACCTCAAGATGAAATTACTTTTACTACCTGGAAATCCATTTGTGCTCCTGCGGCTTCCTTCCTCTGAACTAGACTGGCCCAGGATTTACAACAGAGCACCCCTTAATTTAACTCTGGTTGTCCTGGTGAACACAATCTGAACACGAGGGACCTCCCCAAAATTCCCTCCCTCTCCCAGGGTAATGTCAACTGACATTTTTCCAGTTTAATGAGAATCATTATGAGACATTATTATGTCCCCGGAGGAGGAGAGGGATTGTGGGAGTGATGAGAACTTTGTGAAAACATTAGTGAGAAGCCTCCTGGCATTTCCCAACGAGTTTTCGCTCCAAGTAACTATCCTTGGATTTTTTGGCCGCTGCCCAGAAGACTCTACTTGGAATGAGAACATCCCAGACACCAAATCGACTCTGTCATAAGAAAGACAAATTGAAGAAGTCAGAGCTGGCACTGCTTGGGCAACAAAGCATACCCTGAGTTAACATTGATCCATAATTAATTTAAATACAAATAAATATGTGGAATGAAACAGCGGTGGAAAAGACAAGCAGCCCAAACTGTGAAGGCTTCAGCTCTAATTAATGCCACAAAGGCAATCAGGGGCCTGGCAGTGCCAAATGAGAGCGGCGTCGGGGGAATCACTGAAGCACAACAATGGGTGTTTGTCACACCAGGCACTCACATTGCTCATTACCACCCTGCTCTGAGGATTTATTACCACAGCTGATGAAAATGCTCTGCTGCAGGGACAAGTGAGCCTTTGTTCCTCAGGAGCAGTGGAAACCACAGGCTGAGCCCCAAGACCTTCGAAGAGGGAGAAAAGGAGGAAGACAATGCCTGCCTCTCCACAGCCAGACTCCAAGGAACATTTCTGATAGACTCCCACCATGGTGGGAACGGTCTTGGCTGTGGCTGGGGTTGGCCAAGAGGCATCTTCCCATCCAGTGCAAGAGGCTGGTGGCCACCTCAGTCCTCCATTATTTAAAACATCTCTGAAATTACAACCTGATTAAATTAAAAAAAAAATGAAAGGAAGAAATAAATAAAAGGAAGAAATAAGCAAAATGAAGAAATATATAAAAGGAAGGGGAAAAAAAAGGAAATAAATAAAATTACCTGTTCAATAAGTGTTTGGATGACACCCTGAGGCACATAGTGGGATTCTTGGGATGTCCTGTGCCGGGCCAGTTGGACTCGATGATCCTGATGTGTTCCTTTAAACTCAGCATGTGCTACAGTTCTATGATTCTATCCCCCACTGAATGATCAAATTATGGGTTTAGCTCTTTTATTTTCCTACCTCCAAATGCTGGCACTTGTGGTAGCCCATCACCACTGCCACAGCAGCAAGGAGTCTGTTGGATCATTCAATCTTTTTTTTGGCAAATGTAGTTTTTGTTGATAAATGCACTTTTTTTTGTCGATGATACTTTTAATGTGATAAATACAATCTCAGTTTTCCAACACAGGGGAATGTTAATGAGGGGCAGACACTGTCATTATTAGGAAGGAATTCTTCCCTGGGAGAGTGGGGAGGCCCTGGCACAGGTTGGCCAGAGAAGCTGTGGCTGCCCTGTCCCTGGAAGTGTTCAAGACCAGGCTGGATGGAGCTCTGAGCAACCTGGGATAGCAGAAGGTGTCCCTGCCCATGGTAGGAAGTTGGAATTGGATGATCTTTAAAGGTCGCTTCCAACTCAAACCATTTTTAGATTCTACGATCAGTTCATGGAAACTTAACAGCACTACCTTCAGGCAGAAAAGCCACTCTAATTTATACCTGGTAGGACCTTGTTTGTGGAGTTTTGGATCATTTCCAGAGAAATGATCAGACACCTCAACTTGCATTTCCCCTCTTTGGGATTGATAAGCACTGGCATGATGCCTTGAATTTGTGCACAATAAAAGCATCAATCTTGGATTGCTAAAAACGAGCACCTTTTGGAAGTACCTTTCTGCCTGCCTGATTTTTCACACCTTCTGAGCCCCTCTGAGTTAATAGTTGTTCATTTGAACGGGTTTCGACATTCTTTTTACTCAGTTTTTGCAAACAAAAAGCTGCTCAGCTGCAACGGGGATTATCCAGGGCTGATGGAGTCCTTGCAGATCTCACAAGGGACCAGTTTGCATATATTTTTCTTGGACCGGCAAACAAACCAAAAAAAAAAAACAAAAACAAATGAGCTGCAATGTGCTTTGAGCCAGAATTCAGACTTTTCAGGGATTCAGGTTGTATTTCTGAGTGAGACCTGGCAGCTAATGAGAGCTAAACAGAGCATGATGACCGCTGCTAATGAGCAAAAATGCTGCAGGAACAGCAGAGTGGGTGATGGATCTGTCGATCTGGGACCAATTAGGGTGTAACTGCCACACCTGGGAATGCCTCAGTCCTTACCACGTTAATAAGATGTATTCCCGTTTCTCTCCAACCCCATTCCCATCATAACCTCCCTCCTCTATTAAATTATCAGAGACACTGCTGTGTAGAGACACATCAAACCTGTCAGTGTTAATTCAGCTGCGAGAGAAGTACACTGACCACACACACACACACACTGCTCCTGGTCTCGTGTTGGAGCACACCTTTGCTCCCACATTTCCTGGTTATCAGGGTGGATTCCTATGGATAACATTGTGATTGAAGTTTTCTGCATGTGCTTTCATAAAAAAACAGAGCATTGGGTTCTTGAGAAAGTTCTTTCCCTGTGGGCTCATCCATTGCTTTGGTGAAAAATGGGTTCCTTAAAAAAAAAAAACGCTGATTGCCCCAAATGAGAAATGTCCTGGTAATATACTGATTCCTTCAAAGTGCTCAGTGGAAACATGATCCATGCTTTGATGTTTTGTTGGGATCAGCAATATTATTACTTTTGACTTTTATGTTGGAATGTTTAACGTCAATAATTTCAACTTTTATGTTGGAACATGTAATATTGATAATTTCAACTTTTATGGTGTTCTGTGGAGTGTGGAACATAAAAATGGGAATGTTGTGGCACTTGCATTCTGTCGGACCAAAACATTCCAGCTGGAGGCTTCAGAGTGTCCCGACAAACCACTGTTGCAAAGTTGTCTAAACTTTTTTTGGGTGATCTTTGCCCTCTCTCTCGCTGACTCTGGTTTGTCCCTCCTTGCCTCGATCTGTTGTAGGTACAGGCTGGACCATCTTTCACATTCCTCTTTCCAGAGGGAGCGATTTTCACATTCTGTTTGTTTTCCTTCTTTGGGCCACTCAGTGGACGGCAACTGGAACGAGTGGTCGAGCTGGAGCTCCTGCTCCGCCTCCTGCTCCAACGGGACCCAGCAGAGGACCAGGGAGTGCAATGGACCCTCCTACGGCGGAGCCGAGTGCCAGGGACACTGGGTGGAGACCAGGGACTGCTTCCTGCGCCAGTGCCCAGGTTGGTCACCAAGAAATTTTCTCTCTTCTGTGTCACCTTTCTCTTTTTTAAAGTTTTCCTTCGGGGAAGACTTGCACCCTTTTCAGCAGTAATAGGGAGGTTTGGGTTGTACCAACAGACCATGGCATCCTAAAATCTTCTCTTAAAAGAAACCTCTAAGACTCAGTTTGTGAGTTTTAGAAGCCAGGCATTCCTTGATTCAACAGTCAGGAATGATTCCAGCATGGTCAGAGTGCCCTGGGGATCAGCTCACCACGGTGCACACAGAGGTGTCTCCACTACAGCTTTTATGTCAACATTACATTGATGCCTTGAACTCTATATTATATAAAACTTTAACATAGCTCTTTTAGCTCTTTTAGTACATTTGAGTACCTACTTTTTTAGCTCTTTAGTACCTTTTAACACCTTTGTACGAGATTTCCGAAAATGTTATTTAATGTTCCTTGCTGAAATTCCAACGGACAAAGATTTGAGCAAGGTGAAAAACAGCTTACCTGGAGAAAATGTACTCAGAATAATACATAACAAGGGGCACAGCACTTGGTATAACTGAATAAAAACTACTCAGAAGCCTTGAAGCCGTTCCAAGCAGGACAGAGATGATGAGGAGGAGGAGGGCAGGGATGAAGGGGTGGTCATTTTGTAACCACTGACTCAAATTTGGGAGATGTGTCTGAGGGTGGGACAATGGGACAGACAGTTTTGGGGCTGGGTGTAATCAATGAGGTAATGCCTAGATATTATAATTAGATGGTATTATAAAAATTGTAAAGGCCTGTACTGTGGGTGTGTGCAATATATTTTGTGCGCCAAAGGCACCACAGTTAAAGAGCTGCTTTCTACCTTTCTGTACTCAAAATTGTCCAGAGAACTATTTCTCTGATTTTAGGCACCAACATGATTATTCATTTTCAGTTCCCCGCGTTCTTGTTACATATCCATGACATTTCCCAACACTTATTAACATATATACATATCCTTATAAGGTCTTTGGGGAGCTTCACTGGGAGTCTTTGGTGATCTTTTCTGTTTGGAGCCCCCAAAGTTCTAAGTGACTGCCTCAAGACCTTCTTGAAGACGATACACCTGGTTATAGAGTAACTGCCTCAGTTCCCTTCTTTTATTTCTATACTTTGCTTGGTTAGCCCTTTCAAATCACTTGACTCAGTTATAGGTAGTTTTTATGGTACATTGTGCTGCAAAAACTATTAGTTCTTGTTACATCTCAAAACTCTGATATCAAAACCATCACTGGCAAATGCTCCAGGAGACCCCAGAGAGGTGAGTGATTACCCACAGGGAATGTGTCTGTTGTAACCTTAGATATCAGCTTTTCAGGCTGAGCTTAAAAAACCCAAACAAATTATCAGTGAGACCCTTCCCTCTCTTCCAGAGTGCTTCAGCTTTCCTCCTCTTTTTGTTTTGTTCCTCTTCTCCCAGCATTTCAAGTCTCCCAGTTATATTTGAAGCAAACAGGGAAGCATCTTCCACTGTATCTCAGCTTTGAACCTTATCTGTGACAAGGTCTGGAACAATAAAGCTTTAATTCATGCCTATCTAAGACTTGTCACTTTACTCATCTATCTTTGAGTTAAAATAATAATAATGACAGCAATAATAGTAATAATAAGAAGGATAATAATAATAATAATAAGAAGAAGAAGAAGAAGAAGGGTGATGATAATAATAATAAGGACAATAATTCCTACTGTCCCAGCTGCTGTAGTTGGTACCTTACATTTAGAATAATCATCTTGTCTTCATACCATGGACCTCGAGCTCCAGCAGAGAAGTTTCATGCAGGAGAAGCAATGAGAATTAAAGCAGAGACCAGAGCACACCTAACACCAGAAATCTGTGTTTCTCAGACTAGCACCAGCTCTGTAGAGTTGCAGGTGCAGTTTGCTCCCCTTTTTTTTTTTTTCCAGAAATCTTGGGAGAGGCCATTTTAATGGAAACACTTTGGTGAGCTGGTGTGAAAAATATTCTGACCTGTAAAGAAGGTTTGAACAACTAGAAACCTTCCAGACTGATCAGGAACTAAATTTTATTGGTGTGGTTCTCCTGTCCCTGAGTGCTCCTTTCCTGTTAGACCATGGATTTGAGAAGGACTGCACTCCTGAGATGGAGAGTCCCTTCCTCTCCTTTGTGAAAGAACAGGGACAGCCAGAAACAGCTCAGGTCTTTTATACTCTTCTCATACCTTGCTTAGGTGACAAAATACTGGTTTTTTCCACTCCACAAGCATAGAAACCTGTAGCTCATAATTTTCTTGAACTTCTTGGAGAAGACAGAGATCCCCCACCGTCCCAAAAGGAGTTACCAGACCCAAGATGATGCAGTAATTCACAATTGAAACCCGAATAGTAAGCAGCAGACTTAGGCCTTGTTCTAGTTATGTCAGCAATATGCTGCAGCAAAAGAGAAGGTTTCCCTACCTTGCAGACTTGTTGTGAGGGCTAATTAACATTTTTATGGTGCTTTGATAAATGCCATTGTTAATGTAAAAGAAGTAGCATTTTGATAAATGTCAATGTTAACGTAAAAGAAGTCACATTTCCACTGAATCCATAAAGATGTTGGGAGAAGATACAACTGAATGAGACAGCATCCCAAACCTCTTTCCAAGGCACATGAAACATCAGTGCAATGGAAACAGCTGGAGGGAGGTTTATTTGATGTTTCTTCATGGTTTTTTGCCCAAGGGCTCTGCTGGTCTCTCTAAATCCCTGAGCCAGACCTTCTCTGGGAAGGTCTATTTTCACACATACATTGTACATCCCAACTGAGCTCCAGCTGTGGGCTTTGCTTGGCAGATGTGGTTGAATCCCTGCCCACCTGGAGAGTGTTCATGAGCCCAGCCCCAAATGTGAGCCGGAGGAGGGAGATAGGGCTGTTTTTCCAGGGAATGAGGACACTGAGGAGGAACACAAAAACACCCTTTGACTATGAAAGCGCTGATGCAATGGGAAAGGACACACTTTGTTTTAATGTCTGTTGAGAATCAGAGATCCAAGGCAGGAGACTTCCCTTTCCACCAAGCCATGCCCTACTCACCCTACATTCCACTGCTCACCTTGAGATCTCTCATCCTTTGGTTTCATATTATGTTTGGGACTAAACAGGCTGTTTCTCTCCTGTTTTTTTTGTCTCCAGTGGATGGGAAGTGGCAGGCCTGGGGAGTGTGGGGCAGCTGCACCGCCACGTGTGGGGGTGGAACTCAGAGACGTGACCGTGTGTGCTACGGACCCTTCTTCGGTGGAGAGACTTGCCAGGGTCCCAAGGAGGAGTATAAGCAGTGCAATGACAGAAAGTGTCCTGGTAGGTACCCCAGACCCCTCATGGTTTGCTTTGTGGGAGAGGGAGTTTGGATTATGGAAAGGGCTTCCGTGTCAGAGAGCTGAATGCTACAGGAGTTGGGATCCAGTAAGAGCCAATATAAAACGTAGGTACAAGATACACCAAGGTCTTGACTTAGTTGCTGCAGCATCCATTGCAACCACGTCAATTTAGTGAGTATTTGGTCAGCTCACCAGTCCAACCTGGGTGGCTTTCATCTTTTCATTGCCATAAAGTTACAAGAGGAAAAGAGGCACTGTTTGGTAGCAAAAACTGAAAGCCGGGTCTCGAGTCCATGAATTAGTTGAGTACTGAGGATGCTGCAGTGGTTTCCCACCCTTTACCTCTGGGAAACCTGCACACCACTGGAAATTTAAAAAAAGACAGCTCTGTCCACATCTGTCTGAGCCTTCCCAATCTGCCCCTCCTCCAGAGTGCAAAAGCTGAATGAAGGGCAAGAGAGGGCAGGGGAAAACCTGGGGCTGAGTGTGAAAACCAAGCAGGAGCAAACACAGCTGGGAATGTTTCTGTCTGTCTCTCACAGACTATCCAGAGCCCCCAAAAAAGGCCTGTGCACCATTTTGACTTTCTTACTCAGTCTGAGTTGAAGCTCCTGGTGAAATTGCTGGTGGGGAATCAATGGCCTGTGTGATGTTGGCAGTCAGATCGCATCGATCCTAACAGGGCGTGAGTTTTGACTGAAAGGGTAATTAATTGTCAGAGCAGCTCAGTGAGAGGCAGGAGAGATTCTCATGGCAGCATCCTGGCATTCCTAGTGAAAGGGGCTGTCTCCCTACAAGACAGGAGGCAGCAGTTTTGATGCAGATGTTTCTGGGGGCAGATCTGACACGTGGAGGACGAGCTGACCCTCAGACTCCCTCACCAACTGCTGAAGACAAAGAGATGAAAGCCAAAGAACTTCAGCATGGAAGTTCCAGCACGTTTAGCTCGGAGATAACAGAGAGAGAGGCTGTGACAGCACAGTCACTCTCTCCAGCTCTGCTCTAATAAAAGACATCACCTCTCCTTACAAGCTGTGCCTCTCAATTAGCAGTGGCGTGTGAGAATCTCTTCCAACTCTGCCACAAAGCTCTCCCACACCACAGAAAAACTTAGCACAGGGTTGTCTGGTGGTGTCTACAGAGTGATGCAGATTTAGTTCAGCTTCAGTGTGTGCCAGCTGGGGCCCTGACAGAACAAGCCCGATCTTTTCTTCTCTTCCTGCAGGCGTTGATGCCTGTGCAGTGCTCAAAAGGAAAAGGCACATCTCAGGGACTGGGCCCTGCTAAGGGTTCACAACCAGAAGGGTCTCACTGCAGTTGTTAATTTGCAAGGGAAGGAAAAGGTGGGGAAACATCAGAGGCTAAAAATAAACCCGCTCGATTTGTTCTCCAGAAAGTACCAAATGCCGGCATGATTTGATTTGAACAGAAGAATTGAACTTAATTGGGTTAGTTATTAAAATCTCCCAGTGCAAATAGGTTACTCTGGTAAAAAGGATTTTGTTGTGAAGCAACATCAAAAAGAAAAAAAAAAAAGGAAGAAAGGAGGAAAGGATAAAATGATTCTCTCCTGGTCTGGGAATTGCTCCTGCACTCGCTGGCAAGACACCACCAATCAGTGTATTTTTAAAGAGCATCTCTGAGCCACAGCATCCCTCAGCGGTCCCCAGGGACACTGCAGGGGTGAGGAGACCAGGAATGTTTGACAGGTCGGCAGAGGAGAAAGGAGAGGATGGATCTGAACATTCTGCCTCTCTGCTTTCTGCTGTGCTCTGCTGTTTTGTAGCCAAAGGTGGTGATAGAAGCTCCAGCCCCACAACCCAAACCTTCCTTTGAAGGGAGGATCTGTGACTGTGGTCAAAGCACTGCTCCAGAAGAAAGGAGCTTAGAACTCAGCTCCCTGCTCTGCCACAGGCTCTCTGGGTGAGCATGTGCTGGTCATGGCTGGGTGATTCAATCTCCCTGTCCTTCAGGTTGGAAGCAAAACTGCCTCTTTTCCACCCACGTTCTGCCCTATCTACAGAAGTCATGAGCTGTTTGCACAGGGACTAGTCCTGTGTGTGCAGAGAGCACAGCTGGGGTCCCTCTTACCCTCCAGGATTTCATTACAACAGTGATTACCCGCAAGGGAACTTTGAAACAGGGGATGCAGCATCTGTTTCCAAGCAGAGAGTGTAACTTATTCATTCCCAGCGTCTACTGGGGAGGAATCCATCTCTGAACTGCAGCTGGGGCTGGAGCCACACAGTCCTGGAGCTGGACTGCAGGAGCAGTGACGTTCAGGCAGCTCGTTGGGTCTTGTAGGAGTTCTTCAAAGAAGCAGGACTTGCCGTGCCCATAATTTTCGGCTTGAGCCTCCCCCACAGCCACGCTGGGCTCTGGGTAGTCCCAGAGCAGAAGTGGATTAAGTCCTGACCAGTTATTGGCACTCACTCAGCTTCCTTTTTTTCGGTATTTTTACTTGCACAATGAATAAAAATGCAATCAAAAACTATTAGATCAAGTTTTTTCTTCTCCCCACCCTCAGGAGTGACAAATAGCTTTAACACCATCCTCGTGGCTCCCTCAGTTTTACATGCTGTAAGTAATGAGTTTCTCAGCACAAAGGTCTCCTGTGGTGAATGTTCTTCTCCCAGATCACATCAACTCTGGGGCCAACTCAGCTCCACCCACAGATAGAAGTATCTGAAAACTTCCTTCCAAAGAGCTTTTGCTGTGATGTCTCAGAGCACATTTCTGCAGTCTCCTGGACTTTGCAGCAGTTTTTGGAAATGAGCTGCTGATGCAAATCCAGCTTGTTGGTGCCCAGATCTTCTCCCTGTGTCCTTACACAAGATGGAAGCAGACAGAGGACCCGAATGAAGACCATCCAGGGGACATGTCCATCCTTTTTTCTTTCACCTACTTGTTCTTTCCTTCATTCTTACTCTGATTGATTTATGCCAAGCCTTGTTTTAGATACATCCTACTCTGAAGGATGGAAGAAGTAGAGTCTGAAGCTGTGGAGTTTTTCTAGAAAAGACAAAGATCTGCTATTAAAATTAAGAAATAAAACTCCTTAGTAGAGTGTTGCAACAGCAGTTTTCTTGCAAAGTGCTGCCACAAGGCAAGGCAAATGTGTGAGTGGACTTTCCCAGGTTGTTCCATGGATATTAGTGAGCTAATCTTCAGAATGGTTGGATACCCGGTTTTCAGACAGACAGAGCAAATTCCAGGGGGTTTAAATGGCTTTGTCAGGGCCATGCAGGAGGAGCTGCAGAGCTGGGAGCTCGGCTCCAGACCTCCTGGCTCACACCACGGTGCTGTTCCTTCCAGACCCTGCTCCCCTGTTTCCTCTTTCCGTTCCCTTTTCCATGCCCTTGCTGAGGAGGAAGCTTTACCAATGAAGTTTTTCTCTCCTTGCAGAGCCCCATGAAATCTGTGATGAGGAAAGCCTTGGCTCTGTGGTTTGGAAGGAGACTCCAGCAGGGGATGCTGCCGCTGTCCGGTGTCCCCGCAATGCCACTGGTAAGGGTGACTCCGTGATGGGGACATGGTCCATCCTCAGGGTATCCCTCATCCTTTGCCTCCTGGATGAAGAGAACCTGGTTGTGGAAGGACAGGACAAGCAGATGGACTTTCCTCCAATCTTTTGGGGCTAAATTAACTCTCTCTGAGTTTCTGTGGCCCTTCACTGTTTAACAACAACATCTTGGTTCCTACTGGACAATTTGAGGTGGTTTCCATCCACCTCCTGCCTAGTCCTGGGACAGCCTTGCACTCAAGAGTATCTGTGGTGTGTTCTCCCCATTAACTACAAACATCTTTGCAGAGCAGGTGGGGCCTTGTCAGAGTTCTCTAGACTTGGTAGTTATATTTCTCTCCACTGCCCATAAACAAGCTGGTGTTCAAAAGCAGGAAAACCTGAATTTCATGGTCCGCTTATGCTTAGAAAACACAGCACCTGTCTAAACATTTATTCAGGTGCTCAGGTTGATGGTCTGATCATGGGGGCGTGAAGTGATGGGATATGGGCATCCAGGTGTTATCTCTTGTGACCATGACTCTGTGTCATGTCTAGTCCCTAAGGACTAGAAAGTAGGGCAGAGAAGGCTCCAGGAGACACTCTGGTGCTGAAACTTGCCCTCAGCTGGATGTTCCTCACTCCCAGGCAGGAACAGAAATATGGGCAGCAGTGTTAATAATGAATTTAAAGGTTTTATTGTGCTTGAGGGAGGTGGTTGGGTACAGACCAACCCTGTGACTCTGTTTGAATCAGCCTGGGACAGTTGTGTTGTCCCAAATTCTGTCCTAGAAGGGCTGTATCCATAGAAAGGTCACTGAATCCTTAAGCAGACCCAGCAAACCTGGTCCTCAGAGACTCTCCAAACTGCGCCCTGATGGCTTGGGCAAAGTGATCCCCTTCCCTTCTTCCTCTCTGATAAGTCCATTTTTTTCCTCCACAAAGGCATCTGATTATCACTGCAAACCCCCCTGTAGACTGGAGCTGAGGGAAGGCCTGGGGGAGGACTGAGAGCAGCTCTCAGAGTGTTTCAGCTGCCGCAGGGATGGTGTTTATTCTCCTCCAGACTGTGTGGGCAGCACAAGCCACTGTGCCTGGTTTAGTTGCAAGTACCAGAACAAGCCACCTGGGGAGGCTCGTGGGGCTTCCTGAGCCAGGAAGAATGTTGTCCTCCAGGCCAGGAGAAAAAGAAACCTTGACTAGCCATGGCCAGCCTGTTAATTTTTGTTTTCATGCCCAGTTCCTTCTGCTGCCCTGCAATATTAAAATGCAGGAGGAGAAGGTAATAAAAATAATCTCTCCTACATGCTTGCATGGGTTGTTCAGGCACCTGCAGGCACCTCTGATGTCCTTTGTACTGGTAGCTGTGCCTGAATGGATGCACTGATCAGTTCTGGGTGACCTCCATGGAATTGTTAAGGTTGGAAAAGAGCTCTAAGATCATCGAGTCCAACCCTTAAGCCAACAGTGCCAGGTCCACCCCTAAGCCATGTCCCCAAGTGCCACATTTACATGTTTTTTGAACATGTCCTGGGACAATGATCCCATACGTCTCTGCACAGCCTGTTCCAATACTTGAAAACCCTTTCCATGAAGAAAATTTTCCTCATACCCAATCTAAACCTCTCCTGGTACAACTTGAAGCTGTGTCCTCTCATCCTATCACTTCCCACCTGGGAGAAAAGACTGACCCCCATGAACTCTTGGCTTTTCATCCTGTTTTCCTCACTCCCATATTTGTTTCTTTCATTTTTCAGGGCTGATCCTCCGAAGATGCATTTTAGATGAGGAAGGCATCGCTTACTGGGAGCCCCCAACATACATCAAGTGTGTTTCTATTGATTACAGGAACATACAGATGATGGTAAGGCAGAACAACTCCTCACTCAGCAGATTTGGGATCCTCCCAAATTCTTGTAACATGGCTATAGTTGCTAAAAAGAAGGAAAGGAACATTTCCGTGTGAAAAGGAGATACTGGGTCTGCCTTAATTTTTTTTTACTGCTTTTGTCTGGTTATCTTGTGATGCACAGACACTCCACGGACACAGGATGGTTCCTTTCAGGATGTTTTAAAACATATCTTGGCAGAATCCAGGTTCTACCAGGTCTTTCATATCACATTATCATTAAGTATCACTGTGACTGCATAACTATTCTATTTATAAATAAGCATCTCATTTTCTGTTAATCTTAAATTCATTGTTGTGATGAATTTCTGCTGATCTCCTGTGGTTTCTCTTTAGGAGAACTGCCCTCTCCTGTTCAGGACAAGCTACAGTCTGTTCTAAAATAATTCCAAATTAGTTATAAGAAAAGAGGGTTTGGGGGCAAAAATATTCTTACTAACTGGCTTGGGTTATGAGCAGAAGAAACTCTGTGGTAGGACAATCTCTTCTGAACCTCCACACAACCTTTCCTACGTGGGCAAACGAAAAAATTCAGTTTTCTATCATTTTAGAACCACTTAGAATATACTTCAGAATCTATCACTCTGTCCTATCATTTTAAGAAAACCAGAGGCTCTCAGGCCAGCAGAGATTGTCAGATTCAGCTCATCTGCACTCTGAATTAGAAGGAAGGTCAAAAACCTTCCCCCAGCAATTCCTTCACTGAGCTCATTAACTTGACTTCGACTGTCCCTAAAGTGTTTGTCACGTCTCTTCTCTGTTTCTCAGACCAGGGAACATCTTTCCAAGGCTCAGCGTGGGTTGATGGGAGATGGGCTGTCAGATGTGCTCCAGAACCTGGTGGAAATCTCCCAGGATGGGACCAGCTACAGTGGGGACTTGCTGTCCACCATGGACGTACTCAGGAACATGACAGAGATCTTCCGTAGGGCTTATCACAGCCCCACCTCTGGAGATGTCCAGGTGAGCTGGGATGCACATCCTGGAGGCCAAAGCTTGGCTGGAGGTGTGTTTGCATGCACAGGGCTCCAGGTTTGATCACCTCCTTTGCAGCTGATGCAATACTGATGAAAAGCTAGAGCATTTTTTCTCCAAATGTCTTCCTGTATTAACAAACTCTCCCTTCAAGGTTGTTCTCCCTGGCTTAAAAACTGGAGAATTTGAAAGCCAAAGTCACTCTGAGCTGTTTCAACCTGACAGCACTTTACTGTTGGAGTCTAATTGATATGAGAACATCATTTGGAAGGGATTTCAGTCTTAATGACTAGAGGTTAAATGATCCTGTGGCATTGGGTACCTGGATGACTCTGGCCTTCTCATCCCAGGGTTTTACTTTCAGCAGCTGCACACAGAGCAGCTACAAGATATCCCCTTGGGATGGGTCATCACCCCATGGCTCGAAACATTAAACTGATCCTACAGGATCTGCAAAGAGTGGTAAAAACTAGAGAAAAAATCAATAGGCTTAAATTTCCTTCCTTCTCATAGTGTGCTGCAAAGGTCCTGCCATGCAGAGCACCCTCTGGATCAATCTCTGCTTCTCTTACCTGGTAGCAGGTCAAAGAGGATCATAAGGAATATATTGGAAATGACAGAAAGAGTAGAAAATAGGATAGAAAAGAATTTGTGTGAGGGAAGATCATCTTTTTCTAACCAGTCTCTGACAGACATCGACCAGTAATAAATACAAGACATATTCCCAATCCAACCCTTTAGGAAATACAGTAGTCAAAGTGAAGGCCTTGGGGAAAAAAGCCCTGTTGGTCATTAACATCCCTGGGACCTGTGAAATGCTGTGGGACCCTTTGGGAATGGCACCATGAGAACCCCCCCTTGGAGCATGGCTGGTTCTCAAATGTTCCTTCCCCATCACTGGGTCCTTCCCAGCCTAGGCTGTGTTTGACTGACCACCTCTTTTGTCCTCTTTTGTCTCCCTTCTCCAGAACTTTGTCCAGATCCTCAGCAATCTTTTATCGGAGGAAAACCGGGAGAAATGGGAGGAAGCTCAGCTGGTATGAACCTTCAGCACCTTCCCTGAGATGAAATATGCTTTCACATGGGGTTAAGTCACAAGGAGAGGAATTTCCAAGTGTCTACATGACCTCCTAGCTCTTCTTGCCCAGAATTTTTGAATATTAGGAAAGGGTTCTTCCCCCAGAGGGTGGTTGGGCACTGAACAGGCTCCCCAGGGGAGTGATCACAGCACTGAGCCTGACAGAGCTCAAGGAGTGTTTTGACAATGCTCTCAAACACATAGGGTGATTCTTGGAGTGTCCTGTCCTGTCAGGAGTTGGACTCAATGATCCTTGTGGGTCCCTTCCAACTCAGGACACTCTATGATTCCATGATTCCGGGCTGAGTTGTGTGCAACATAAATCTGTTTTAGGCACAGACCACACAAAATCCCCATCCACCAACGTTCTTCTCCTTGGATAAAGCCTTATGATGAAAGAGCCAGAGTACCCAGACACAGTGAGCTGTACTCGGCTTCAGAGTCTCTGCATGAAGAACAGTGAAATACTGGCGGTGGATACTGAATTTTGGATGGTTCTCAGAGGTCAGGCTTGGGTTGGAGTTGATAACCCTGCTGGCTTGCTCTAATTCCACTCTTTCCTCTTGCCAAGATAAAGAAGTGGGATTTCATGGGTTCCTGGATAAAAAGCTGCAGGACAGGCAGGATTTTCAGAGTTGGGGTCTTCTCAACACAAGCTGGGCTTTGTTTCAGTTATGTTTTGTTTTATTTCTCCCCTCTCAAGGTTGAGGATCCTGCTGAATTCCCTAATCCCCATGCCTGGAAGTGTTCAAGGCCAGGCTGGGTGGGGCTTTGAGTAAGATGTTCTAGTAGAAGGTGACCCTGCCCATGGCAGGGGTTTGGAGCTAAATGATCTTTAAAATTCCTTCCAACCCAAGACATTCATAATTCTGTAAACAATTCTGTAGCTAAACTCTCACGTATTAGGGGATTGGTTTGTTGGGTTTTGTAGCTGTGTTTTATTTGGCTTTTGTCTCCCCTGCCCCAGTTGAACCCTCTGTTGTGGGCTTGTCTCAGACCTAGTCCTTGTCCCTTTGCCATTCTCTTGACAAGCCCTTGGGCTGCTCAGTGCTGTCATCTCACTGCAGCTTTCGGGCACCACATCAGAGGGAAAAAGCTCTGCCTCAGACCAGCAGCTCTGCTGGAAGGTTCCATGGCACCTCGTTCCTCCCATGTCCATTCCTCAGTATTGCACCTTGGAACACAAACCCTCAACTTGCTCAACTCTCAAACTCTCAAGCAACTTCAACTTGCAAAATAACCTGGACAAGGAACAAAACTCAGCCTTTGTGAGAGGTCAATCCCGTGGAAGGTACTTGGAGAGATGGCTCAGACATGGCAACTCACTTTTAGCCACCTGTTGCTGTTGAAAAATTCCTCAAAGTGATTTGGAAATACCAAACAATCAAGTAAAAATCAGCCCCAGACTCCAGTTATATTCACACCAATCAGGGAAGTCCCCTGGGAAAACTTTCAACAGCAAGTGCTGACACAGTTGTTGGCAGTCCAGAATGGGAGACAAGGGCCTGAATATATTCATGCAACAGGGACGCTGTCAGTAGCTGGGCAGCTTCTTCTCTTCTCCCTGATATCTTGTGTTTTCCCATTGCATTTGAACGAGAATGGTCTGTCTCCAGGTGGGATAAAGAACCATCTCAACGTGGTCCTGGGCAAGTGGCTCTAAGTGTCACTGCTTGAGCAAGAGGGTTGGACCAGATGACCTCTGAGGTCCCTTCCAAACTAAACTGTACTGAGATTCTGTGATTCTGTCATTCTGTGACCAAATACTTGGTTCCAAGCCTTCAGGTGCATGTACATATTTTAGCAGAGAGCAGAGGAGGCTGTCAAGTTGTCATGACAACGGGGAAACCCTGTTGATGCCCTCAAACCCAGCTGCAGTTACTCTGCGTGGCAGTTCATCCCCACTGGCTGTCCCCGTGCAATCTGCTCTTTGCACCCATAAACAGACACAGCCCAGCCTGCTGCCAACACCACCATAACCTACATGTGGATTGGGAATATCATGGGGAGGAGGTTTGTTTAATGGGAATTGAGATGAGAGCCCAGCACTTTAGAACAGAGAAATCTTCATGGACAGGATGTCAACAGTTTTCCACAGTCCCTGTTTTTTTCCCTCAAAGCTGCTGGACCAAAATCACTCCCTGCATTTCCCAGGATCAACCAATTCTTTTAAAACAAAGTCTTTGCCTCCCAGTTTGATCATTAAAAATAAATCCAACTTCATCGTTTTCCACATCCCAAAACCCTGTGCTCCACCCCCCCAGGCAGAGATGTTGTTCAAGGAAAATATAAACCAAAACAACCCATAAAAGTACTCACAGAACGGTTACTGTGCTTTTTGAGGAGATTGTGTTCACCATTATATGATAAAAACCTAAAATGCAATGGTCAGTGTAGCCTGGATTTCGTTTGACCTTGTGATTTCAATCTGCAATGGGATATAAAATATGCAGTTAAAAATAGCTTCCTCACTTACTTCTCCTCCTTGTGTGCACACCCGCTGTACTGGCAGGGCTTTTTGTGCTCATCCTGATACGATTTTAGTCTTACCAAGATTCCTTTGGATCGAGACACACAAGGCCACCCCTGTGCTCCTCGTCCACACATTTGAAGGTTCAGCCTTTCCTTCTCCTCCATCCCATCCTGCTTGTCCCCAGCTGTCCCTTCAGCTCTGCTCAGCCACCTCAGGAAGGTCTGGATTACAGGTAGGAACTGAAAATGCTCCAAAAGTGGTGGAAAAGGAAAAGAAGGATCTGAATTGTTCAGCCTCTCATGGTATTTGCTAAGCTCCTGTAGGCAAATGTGACGAAAAGACAGAACAGCTCCTTTCAAGTGGATTATCTTTTATGGAATCTGTCACTGGAAAACTAGTTATTTTTTAACAGCCTTCTTTCAGGCTGGCAAATTACAAGTGAAGAGTTATTGCCAATATCTTTTTCAATGGGAAAATACCAGGGAAGAAAGAAGAGACAGAGAAGATCCAAGACAGGCCCAGGACCAAGAATTTGGTTATTTGGAGAGTGGGATGCTGCCAGCAAAAAAGAAAAGGAGAAAATCAGCCAGAAATGAGAAAATCAGTCCAGAAAGGAGAAAATCAGTCCAGGAAATGCTTTTCTGGATAGGATTATGTGGTCTGGTGCCTGAGATTCAACATTAAACCATGGATGTCCTTTGGTGTGGCTGCTCTTTGTGAAATGACAGCAAGATTAACTACCCTGGTGGAGGTAATGCTTTGTGGGCTCCATGTCAGTAGAGAACACACACACATATATATATGTACACCATCAGAAGTAGAGCAAATATATTTCTCAGGTCAATTATCATCATACCCGAGTGTCAGGAAAGTCTCAGGCTTGGGAAAGGCTCCTGGAATTTAACAAAGGGCAAAGCTTCAATACATCAACACCAACACATCTTCACTCTTTGGATGTGCAATTCCAAATGCCTCTGGCTTTTGGCCAAATACTCCAGTCAATGGGCTTGGAAATCAAGTAGATGATTTTAAAGGTCCCTTCCAACTCAAACCATTCTGTGATTCTTTGATTCTCTGATTCTATGCAAGTAAATGTGTAGGTTGTCTTCTGCTCCAGACGATCTCAGATACTTCTGTTTGCTTTAAAACATTGCCCTCCAACTCAAGTTTTACCAATCTGAATGTCATCTTATTATTTCTTGCCCCTATTTCTAGGCCTTCTTTTAGGATTTCTCACTCCTCATTCTTCCCAGCTCCACGACACTCCATTATATCCAGCATATGCTTCCAGTTCACGTGCGAGGGCAGGAATCTTTGCCCACAGAGAAACTCCTGCTGTGCTCATTAGTGTCTGATCTACTAAATATTGTCCCTCTCTTTGCAGATAGGGCCAAATGCCAAGGAGCTGTTCAGGCTCGTGGAGGATTTCATTGATGTCATCGGCTTCCGCATGAAGGATTTCCGGGATTCCTACCAAGTGACAGACAATCTGGGTGAGTGGATTTGCACTCCCCATGTCAGATAGAGAGCCCATGGAGCTGTTAATTACTGTGTAATATGTGTAACCTGGGCTGTGGGGAGGGAAAGAGGGGAGGCAGCAGGTGGTGCAGCATTAAAAGGTCCTGGGAAAGACAGGGATGGTCGTAAATACGGGGTGGCTTTTCTCCAAATAAGTTAGGATATCACCCTGAACAAGAGATATCCATGGAGAGATATCCAAGAGATATCTATAGAACCATGAATGGAGAACAGGCAAACTGGGCAGAATGAGTCTTTTCCTTTTATTTTTTGAACACAAGAGCTGCACAGCAACCAGTGGAGTGATGAGGCAGCAAGCAAACAGCAGGCAGTGTGTGATTTATCCTGTGTGCACAACCCCGGCGGGGAACTTGTTGCCAGAGGATGCTGCAGAAGCCAAAAAGTGCAGATGGGTTCATGATGGGATTAGGAAAGTGCACAAAAGAGAGGCCCATTGGTGGCTGTTAAAGTTGATGATCTGGATACAGCCACTGGCTGAGGAAGTCCTGCTCATTGCTGGGAGGACAGACCAATAGACGTCTTCCTCTGTTCTTTCTCACACTTCTTTTTAACAACTACTTTTGGCCACTCCTGGAGACAAGATGCTGGAGCAGCCTGACCTCTCTTCTTCCAGGTTTAGTGCAGGCAGGGCCTTTCCAATGAAACCCTGACAGTGTCATCTTCTTTCATGCCTAAGCATCACCTGAGGAGAGCATCATTCCTACAGCTCTCAAAATCCAGTCTCTCTGCTATCTAGTTTCCCAGAATTGCTTCCAATGGTATTTTCAGCACAGGTGAGTTTATTGAAGCTGGTTTGTTGACTGATTTTATCTCTTGCTCCTCTCTAGTCCTCGGCATTCACAAACTGCCTGCGAATGCAGCGACCGACATCACCTTCCCCATGAAAGGCTGGAGGGGCATGGTGGACTGGGCCAAGAACTCAGAGGACAAGGTCACTGTCTCCAAGAGTATCCTGTCTTCAGGGCTCTCAGGTAGGCAGCACAGCCAGGGCACTCCAACAGAAAATTCCTTCTTCGTTTTCCAAGTGGTTCCTTCCACTTGGCCAATCTTCAAATCCTCCTTCCAGCTCAGCTGGATTTGCTCACAAATACTTGGACACCAAAAGCACTGATGGGTGTAAATAAGGCTCTCAGATGTGGCCTGACCAAGAGTTCAACTTAAACTCCTTGCAAAAGTTCAGGAGCAGGCTCAGTGCCTGGTTGTGGGTGTATATCTTGTCTATCTTGTCCTAAATGAGTAGCAAAAATAGACAAACAATGCTTTAGATGCCCCCCCCAAGGCTGGTTCCAGACCTGACAGGACCATCTAAGGGTAAGTAGATGGTGGTCAACACATCAGACTGAGGTCAGGGTCTGTTGCATGGACAAGCTTTGCTAGGTTTGGGAGTTTATGGTTGCTGTGTGAAACTTCCTGCCCCCAGAGAGGAAATTCAGAGGCATTTATCCCTGAAGTCACTGGCTCCACAGCAGGGCATTGATATGAGCCACAGCATGGAGGTGGGACCTCTGGGTGCATCAGCCTCACTGCCAGCTCCAGAAGGAACCTGAAAGGCTCTGGGATGCTCTGCTGAGACATCCAGGTGAAGTCCCCCAACACACTTCAGGCGCCCATCTTTTGGGAGACAGACTTGAAATTTGGCAGGATTGAGCCCTGAGTTTTCAAAAGCAGGACCCCAAGTTGGGCTAATTGCTGGGAAATTGTGGGATTTACTTCTGGCACTCATAGTTTTGAGGGGACAAGCTGTTGGCTGCTGCATCAGGCTCTGCTGTCCTTCCTTGGGACAGAGCCTGGAGACTGTGAGTTGTTGCTACCAGAAAACCTTTGGACTCCTGTTGTCACACCAGGACCTCTTGTCTTGGGCTTCCCTACTGGGAATGGAATCAGCCATCATTTCTACTTGGGAAATCTGAGGCTGGGAACTGTTGACACCCCCAAAGGTAAACAGTGAGTCACTGTCAGAGCAAGGATCATGTGAAGCTCTCCTTCTGCTTTGTTGTGCCTTGGAGACACTGTGATCTCCCTGGGAGAAGCTGGAGCGTGTTGGAAGGGTTATCACAGTTTGTGTGTTGTGGCACCTTCACCTCTGGAAAGCTTTGGACAAACTGCTGGCACCAGGCACAGACAGAGCTGATCCTGCTCTGAGGCCGAGGGCTGTCCTGAAAGTATCCAGTTCCTCACGCTGCTGTTTTCCAGATTTCTATTAGAAACATCCTCACACAGAGCTGCTCTGGGGCCCCCAAGCTGCAGTGACTGTGCAAACAAAAGGTGACATCCACCCTGAAGAAGCAACTTCCCATCAGTCCTCACTTCTCCATGGTTTTCTGACTACCACCCAGGGCTCTTCCTGCCTCTGTTTTGTTCAGTATCTTGTGCTGGTGGTATATTTTTCAAGGGTTTATTTAGTGGAGATGCACCTCTTTTAGCTTTGATCCTCACTTCCCTTTGGCTGCAGGGAGTAGGAGTAACTACTCTGAGCAAAGTGATGGAGACAAGGAGCTTCATGAGACCAGAACCAAACTCCCTCACTACTGGGAGCTGATTTTGGTGGGCCAACACTGATTTGTGCAGTTGGGTGATACAATTGCCCTGCAAGCCTGTCTGTCAGTCTCTCCCAGTTATGTGTTCACCAGTTACCCCCAGTGAGCCCAGTCTGATGATGTGAAAGAGGAACACACAGACTTTTGTCTGCCCTACACTGATGGAGCAAACTCAACCTCAGTACAAGGCATGAGAGAAATCCCAGCTCAGGGCCCTTCCCCAGGCTTCCTCAGCATTGCTTTTCACTTGTCCACTTCCTTTTTCTCCCCCAAAAACCTATCTGCAGGGCTGCCTCTGCTGTTTGGGGTTTATCAGGGGAGCTCTTGCTTTTTGCAGCTGGGCCCTGCAAGGCAGCAGAGGAGGAGCAAAAGGGAAAGGAGGAGGAGGTCAAGTGATGTGCCCAGAGGTCACACAGATGATTCAGAGGCTCATCTGGGACCGTGGTCCTGAGGCAGCACACGAGTTTTGGGGTCAGACGAGGTGCAGTGGGACAATTCCCCTTCTCGCTGCCCTTGTCGGCCCAAGCGTGGCTCTTCCCTCTGAAGGCTTGATGACTGTGGATGGGTCCAAATGCCTCGAGGTGACTGCAGGGGACCTTTCCACCCTGCAGATCTGCCTGCTGTGGTGCTGTCAGAGGGAGCAGTGGGTTTCTGAATGGGGGAGAGCAGCAGGCTGGTCATCTGGGATGAGTGAGCCTTGTGTGAGGGTGGATGCCGGGTCATCCCAAAGGCGCTGAGCCCTCTCTGGGGACCGATGGAGACCCAGTGTGGTGACAGCAGGCACTGCATCCCACCACAGCCACTCTGGCATTAGCCATGCCCCAACAGAGGCCAAATCCTGCACGTGGGTGTCCCATGGGGACAGCTGTCATCCCGATTGTCTCAGTGCCGTTGTCTTCTTCCCTTCCCTCTGGTGTCCTGCAGTGTCGGACGACTCCTCCGTCTTCGTGGTGGGGACTGTGCTGTACCGGAACGTGGGCAACATCCTCTCCCTCCAGAGGTAAGAAGGGCTGCCTGGGGAGGGTGGAAAGGCTTTCCTGCTGATCCCTCTGGCCGCAGAGCCCTGGTTTTCCAGGGAAAAAACGAAGGTCACCGGGGTGCAACGAGACAGTGAGAATATTTTGCCCCCCACGGGCTGATGCTGCGCGTTCAGGTGGGGACGGGCTCATGCCTTGCAGGCATCACGTGCTGGAAAAGCAGGAAGGTTTTCCCCACCCATGTGCACCCCTTATAGGAGGGGAGGCACAGAGCTGCTGCGCTTCATCCCTGCCTGCCGCCCTTTGCCCTCCGGGCATGGATTCTCACACGAGGGATTTGGGGAGGGTTGGACAGACGGGGGATGGATGCTCAGCTGCCTCGATCCTCCCGAGCTCCCGGAGAGCTGCCAAACCAGGCTGAGCCCTCGAGAGCATCACGGCAGAGACAGGCTCGGGAGGAGAGCAGCAGCAGCACGCCTGGCTGCACATGTCTGCCCTGTTCCCGGCCGCTGCAAACTGCCTCGGGCACCGAAGCTTTTGTGTTCAGCGCTCCCCTTCCTTCCCTTCCCTCCTCTCCCTTTTTTCCTCGCTCTTTTTTTTTTTTTTTTTTTTTTTTTTTCCCGAGACCGGTACTGAGGCAGTAAATTAAGCATCTTAAGGCACCTTCTAAATCTGTTCTGCACTGATTAGCGTGAGCCCATTTACCATAAACACCAGGGCATCTCTCCTCACCGATAATCATTTAAATACCTCCAGATTTAGCGCTGGCAATGGCAAAAGAGCTCCAAGTGAGTGCAGGGAGGAATTAGCAAGTCAGCCAACTGTATTCTGTAATATCTTCCATTACAGCAGTGGGAATTAGATCAGAAGGGCAATAAACATCATTGGCTCAAATGATCCAGCAGTATTTCAGCTTTCTCTGGCCAAGCAGGGAATGAGCTCTGATAACCAGCAGCTGCAGCAGCCACAGCCTCCGAGCAGCATTCCCACAGGAGAGCTGATTTAAGATGTTCCTTAATTAAAGGACAGTCCCTCTTTAAAAAAAAAAAAAAATCAGGAGCCTTGAATCACCTGTGGAGAGTCAAAGTTAAAAAAAAAAAAAAAGAAGAAGAAATAAAAGCAGCAGCAGCAGTAAAGTACCTCTTACTGCACTGCTGTGCAAATGGACACAGCATTGAAAAGGAGAATGTCATTAAATAGCCATGTAGCTGCCTATGGGTAAAAAATGATTCTGACCACAGAGGAGAGCAGTTATTCCTGGGTACACATAAGCAACATGGACCCAGATCCTGGGTTTGACCACACTGATTCAATGCAGAGTGATTTTTCCTCAAAGGAAAAAAAAAAAAGAGGAGGTTTAACTCAGTGAACAGCACCAGCTGAGCTGTTCCTAATTGTCCCAATTTACCTCCCCCAGGCAGCAATGCCTTCTCTGACTCACACATTACTCTGTCCCCTCGGATCCAGAGAGCCCTGTGGATCTTGGCAGCTGTGACAGTGGAGACGGGGCACACACCAAACCTGATTTTTCAAGGCAGGGAGGTGAGCAGAGCTCAATCGCACCTGGACAGTGCAGCAGAGGACACAGGAGAACCACCAGCCTGGCACCTTCCAGCCCAGTGTGCTCAGCAGGGTGTTTACAGCTGTTTGCACACTCTTTACAGCCACTCAGGAGCCCTCTGAGCTCCTGTTCGAGCCACATCTCCACGTGTCTTGTTTTCCTCCCAGAAGCTGAGCTGCAATGTACTTTTAGGAATAACGACTCATCTTCCTCCTGAAAGATTTCCCGTGATGCTGAATCCTTCTCCTCCCCCGGAAAGCTGCTCAGATGCTTAATTACCTTCTCTGCTGGGAGCCTGGTTCTCATTTTAAGGCTGAATTTGTCTGATTTTCACTTCTAGGCACTGGGCCTGGTGACTGAAAAGGCCCTCACACGTAACAGACCGTCAGACATGCCTTTCAACAGGAAACTTTTGTCTGGTTTTCCAGCACCTGGATCAGTTTTCTGTCTCTGCTTTGGTCTCCCTGAGCTGTTTCCTCATCTCAAAGTGGAATTGAACCAGACAGTACAGTGGGATCCTGACAAGGAGGGGTGCATAGAGCAGATCTCTGCTTCATCTCACTGGAAGGGACCTAAAAGACTATCTCATTCCAAGCTCCTGCCATGGGCAGGGACACCTTCCACTAGCCCAGGTTGCTCCAAGCCCTGTCCAACCTGGCCTTGAACACTTCCAGAGATGGGGCAGCCACAGTTTCTCTGGAGACCTGTGCCAGGGCCTCTCCAGCCTCCCAGGGAAGAATTTCTTCCTTACATCTAATCTAAATCTCTCCTCTTCTAGTTTCAGACCATTCCCCCTTGTCCCATCACTGTCTGCCCATGTAAAAAGTTGTTCTGCAACTTTCCACAAGCTCCCTTCAGCTCCTGGTTGAGCTGTGACCACTTGGCCTTTAACCAATCTTCACCACACCGGTGAATGCTGCGTTCCTACAGCTTCCCACGCTGAAAAATCAAATGCTCTTTCTTCTCACCCGGTCCTCGGCCTTCAAAAGGATGTTTTGGTCTCATTTGTGTTGCTCGTGTAAATATTCAGCAGCACTGAACCAAGAGCTGACCCTCACAGACACAGCTACTAATGAAGACATGCACTGGTTGTTACCTTTCAGCACATCTTGTTTTTAGCTTCTTACAGCTGCTGCTCCCATTGACTTACTCTTTTACTTTTTCTTTGTAGGCTGATGGTTGTGCTTTATCACTTCATTTTTTTATAAGGAAAATATATTATTATTTTTCTTCTTTACCCTGTTAAACCAGTGCTGTTGTTCCCTCTAGTGTCGGTGGAATAGTGGCTTTCTGAGCATCCACTTACATATCCATGAACAATTCCAAGTGGGTTTTTTTTAAACCTTTTTTTAAACTTTCTTTTAAACCTTCTTTTTATTATTATTGCTGTTACGCAAGTGCAAATCTTTCCCACCTAATTCCTTTGTAAAAAGAAATATAAAAGCCAGAAAGAAAAGTGTAAGATTTTATTAGTACCTGTCGATTTGGTGGAGATTTGGATAGGGAAAATTTTCCCTTGCCCATGGGAGCAGCCAACTGCTCAGCTACCACCAATTCCTTCATGGCAGAGTTTTCAGCTGCTGGTTGTGGGGACTTTTTGCTTATTTAAACACCAATAATCTGCAGAAACACCAGGAAAACCTGTGTATTTACATATTCAGTGTCCAGGGAAGTACCTGCAAAGAGTTTGGCTTTCCAGGAAGCAGGAGCACAGGTATGGGAGGTATCTCCTCACTTACTGCTTCTTCCAACAGCCAAACCTCCTCAGGCTGCCAGATTTAATACAATATTTTGCCTGGGCCCAAACATTTCAACATTTCCTTGAAAGATTTGGCCTTTTTCCATCTGCTTTTGATCCTCAAGGAATAGAGATACACACCAGTATCTCCAGACAGGATCATGGAATCACAGAATGGCCTGGGTTGGAAGGGCCTTAAAGCTCATCTCATTTCAAACCCCCTGCCATGGGCAGGGACACCTTCCACTAGACCAGCTTGCTCAGAACTCCATCCAACCTGGCCTTGAGCACTTCCAGGGATGTGGTGCCCCATGGATATGCTGTAAAGGCCACCAAGCCAGCCTTTGAGGGGGGAAAACAGAGGTTTTGTTTTGAAAGCACATGAAATAATAGAATATCTCAAGCTGGAAGGGGCCCACAAGGATCATTGTAGTCCAAATGAGCTCTGTTTCCTCATGTGAGGGATAGAAAATGGGCCCAGGACTATTTTATTACTGGGATATATACAGTCTATAATTCCAACGGATGTAGGGAGTCATTGAGGTTCATAAAGTGACTGATTCCTGAAGGAACAGATGTCTAGTGGCTATGAGGGGAGCTCAAAGGGCTGAGAAGGGGCTCCATCAGCAGCAAGTGTCTTTTCACGGCATTTTAAAGTAATGGGGTCAACTTCTTCTTCGCTGTGTACACCAAACCTTGTACCACCAGTGACGGATGTGTGGATTTTGTGCTCCACAAAAATCCTCTTTAAAGCATCTCTTTCTCCTCTTCTCCCCAGGAACAGCACTGTTCTGAACTCCAAAGTCATCTCGGTGACTGTGAAGCCATTTCCTCGCTCCCTCCTCACCCCTTTGGAAATCGAATTCTCCCACCTGTACAACGTAAGTATTTCCTGGGACTGCACCATCCCACAGCTCTGTTTGATTCTGCAGAGCAGGAATGTGTTGGTGCAAGGAAAGAGGTGGTTTTTCTGGGCTCCTGAGATCTCTTTGCTGATGCAGGACCCTTCAATCTCCCTAAACACTGCTGAGGTTCTCCACTGCCACCCTCTCATTGGTGTCCCATTGTTGGTCACTGCCAGGGATGATTATATGGATCAACCTTCCAAACCTCCCCTGCTCTGTGCTCCTTGCTCAGGCACTACCAGGGCAGCAAGAGGGTGACAGCACAGCTGGCACAGGGAACATGGGCATACTGGTCCCAAATTCACACCATTTCATTGTGGGAAATCATGGGAGGATAACTGTGTGCTCATTAAAAAAAAAAAAGGCTGCAACAGCGATCTTCTTTGAGGAGGGAAAGGAGGGGGGAAGATTTTTTTCCATTAATACTGGAGACAGGAATATTACTGTTGTCCTCAGTGCTTCCAAAGGCAGGCTCTTTTGCTCCAGGCTCCTCTGCTCAACCCTAGGCAGATGTCTGGGATGGACACTTACACACCCCACGGCCTGTTCTTGCTGTGGGTTTTAGATGTCCTCCTGAGGCTCTACAACATGAATATTAGATCCGTTGTGTCTTTGCTTTGGACTTTCCTGGAAGGGTTTTCCAAAGGGGTCTAAGACAGCTGGAGTCAGTGGTGAACCCCTTCCAGGGGGCTTCAAACACACCTGACCCACTCCTGCGGGGCCGTGGTTCTTCCCAGCACCACGTCCCACAAAAGCACAGGCTGTATTTGATCCACTTTCCAGAAGGGAGCAGCAAAAGGATTCTGTTTGAGGGGAAGAATAAGGAAGAACATCAGTAGGGTGAGTCAGGAAAGATGCAGAGTCAAATCCTCCTTGCAGGGATGGTGATGTGGAACAAACTGAGGCACATTTTGGCCTTGCTTTTCAAGCCCAGAGTGAAAGAATCCATTCAGAGGACTGAGATCCACAACTGCCCATCTGGTGCATCCCAGACACACCAAGCTTAGGGTAGTGGAAGTTGTTCTACAGTGAGATATGTCCCACATATTTCATTCTAATCACACACTCCACAAACAGCATGACACTGATTTGTTTCTTTTTTTTCCCTCTCTTGTCTCCTGGCAGGGAACCACCAACCAGACCTGCATCCTCTGGGATGAAAATGATGGGTGAGTTCTGTGGGTTTCTCTTTATTCTCATGGGTCTGTTTGCTTTTTAGGTGAAATCATCACAATTTTAGCAGTGATGTGTCAGTCTGTCTCAGTCCTTGCTCTCTCCACTCCGTTTTCTCTTTGCCCTGGTGTGGAGTGTTTCTTCCCTCACCTGTGCACCACTTCTTACTGACTTCTCTTTTAGTGCCAGTTGACCTGGGTCTTGCATTTAAAGATCTGCAGTCAGGTGTTTTCAGAACAGTTCATGAAGGGCCCTGTGTGCTGAAAGCATCGTGTCCTTGTACCAGGGAAACCCTCCAGGGTTCCAGCAGAGGTGTTCATGTTGCTGCTCACAGGGATGTGTGTTTGCATTTCATTTGATGCTTTGGACCTCAGTCTACTTTTTGCAGAAGTTCTCTCCTATTTTAACTCTTCCAATTTGGGATTTTCCCATATAAAGGATGCATGAATTGAGACCCAGGATTGGGTGTGACATAGCAGTGCTTGGCTCTCTGCAGTGCTCACCCTAAATCAGACACCATAAGGAGAGTAATGCAAAATCAGAGGCCACTGTTGCAAATCTGGCCTGTGGTGGTGAAGTTCAGGTGCTTTGAACTTTATGTTGTGCTGCTGTGATAGGGTAAATTGATTTTTTTCAGGGATTTTCCAGGATTTCTGTGATGACTGGTGCTGTTCAGGAGGTTCAGAGTGATGTGATTGTAGTCAGCAGGGAAAAAAAAAAAAGAAATCCCAAGTTACCAGAAAGAGTCAGGGCCATAAATCCTATATTGGAAGTAGTTGTCAAAGAATGGGCATCTTAGAAAAAAACTCAACAAAACCAAAACCAACATTCTGGAAGTGAGCTCTTAAATCCTGAGTGAACTTGACAAGGATACAAAGTGTTTGATTTAATGGTGGTTTTACTTCATTGACTTTTGTATCTCAGTTTGAAGACCAACCTGGCTTCTTTTCTGCCTGCAGTCGCTTTCTCTCCTTGAGATCTCGCACGTTTGGCACCTACCTCTGCATTTATTATTATTATTTATTAACATTATCTGCAGCACCTGAAAAATGATTCCATTCTTCTCCTTTTATGCTCCATTAAGTAGCATATGCACACATAGGCAGGCAACATATTTGCAGGCAGCTCACCCTTCTTGATGTCCTGTGATAAATTTTGCACCTATGAGTGGATCCAAACACAGCTGAAGAACCCAGAGGGTCTCCCTGCTTGTGAAATCACACCCATGTTGGAGCCCAGGGCAGAACTGGTCCCTCTGGCTTGTAGTGAAAATTATTCCATTATTAGAAGACTGTTGAGTGCAGGTGAACCTTCAAGAAATTAATAAAATTGCGTTTTATTTTGCCAAAGAGCTGTAGGTCTGCATAGAGTGTTGTGTATTGCTGGGCAGACTCAGGAGGAGCTGGCCTGCTCTCCCAAATCTGTTGTTTCTCCATGCTGGAATAGAATTAAAGCACTTGTATACAAATCTAATTTTTGGCAAATAAGGGCGGAATTTGGATTCCTCTGCACAACATCTCGTTGGTTTTTGCTTTCTGCATCCTGGAGAGAGGGTTATGTCCAGAAGGATGGAGATGTTCCCCTGCCAAGCTGGATTTAATTAGCTGTAGTCTGAGCATGAAAAGAGCAAAATCCAGTTTGCATGTGGCTGGATCCAAGGGCAGTGATGGCACTCAGGGCGGGCACGTATATTTGTCAGAGCTGGCACTGGGAAGTGCCTGGTAGGAGACAGATGCAGGGTTGCCCAGTGCTCATCATGGATTGAGAGCTTTGAATGCCATTGATCTGGAGGCAAAACGTTGCCCAGTTCAGCATAATCACCTCTGCCTTGTGGAATGACAGAATGGTTTGGGTTGCAAAGGATCCTAAAGATTATCCAGTTCTGACCCAGTGGGCCAGGTCACTCCTTGTCCCAGGAGCTCTGCCTGCTCCATACTCCTGCTCCCAAGGCTTAGCAGCTTGTTTGGCTGCCTGTTGTCCCTCTGGTAGTGCAGGATGTTGGGAATGCTTTCAGTCTTTAATCCCTGCATCCTCATGGCATCAGAGAACAGGCTCCCAGCTCAGAGCTGAGCAGGCGATTTCTTGGCATCGTCACCACGGCTCAGTTTTCAAGGATGGATTCCAAAATCCCCAGCAGATTGGTTGTGCAAATGTTGCTGCTGAGACTCCTGTGTGTGTGTGTGTGTTGGGGGGTGTGTATGCTTCCCTGTGAGTGTTTCCAATCAACATTTACAATCTCAAGCAGTTGAAAAGTCCTAAATGCTGATGTCAGCAGATTTTTGCCGGGGGATGTTCCAAAACTAGAGCTGATCCAGTGATCTCTGGCAACAGGAGCTGCCAAGCTGTTTGTGCAATATTTTAAAGCTGATTTGCACAACATTTTAAAGCTGATTTGCTACCACTTCTGACTCCTGGGAAAGTCTAATGAAAGGCAAATTATGCAAAGCCTATTCTCCAGTTCTGAATGCTCACCTTGAACTTGAACAGCACTCCGGGGCTGTCAAGGGCTTTGCAGTTCTGGGGCACAGTTTTGGGTGATTTTTTTCCTGCTTGGAGCAAGAATTTTTAGGCTTCACCCTGGACCTCTAGCCTGGTATGTGGTAATTCTGGTAATTCTGTGCCATGTCTTAAGCTTCCTCTTTTACCACTCTCCATGTTCCTGCTCCAAGACTGGCCAGGTGGACCTTCCCCACATCCACAATCATCCACCTGAGGCTGCAGATCTTAGTGATCCAAACCCCACCTGAATCCAGTGAATCAGCCTCTGGATTTAACCCCTTGAGGCCTGTGAGTGAACAGGTACAAAGGCAGGAAACTCCAAGCAATCCTCACATGAGAGCTCCTGCCTGTTCCTGCAGCCACCTGAGCTTTCAACCCCATCCAAACCACACCACAGCCACTTAAAATCCACGGGCCTGAAAGGCTGAACTGTAAAACTGCAATTAGAACAGACAATTAGCAGGTGACCATGTGTTTCCTCAAAGATGGAGCTGTCAAACAGAGCACTTGTGAAAAAAAAAAAAAAAGAGGAAGAACTCCTGAGTGTTCATTCATTTGCATTTAGATGGATATTTAAACTTGGACTATTAACAATGGATTTTTGATTTATTAATCCCAGCCCCTCTGAGTGACTGTGAGATTTGTGGGTGGCACCTCTCCATCTCTTTTCTCTTCCTCTTGCCCCCAACTCCTCATGTCACGAAACAAGAGGGGAGAAGATTGAGGGACTAATTTCTGTTGTGTTGGATGCTGCAAGTGTGATTAATGAGCTGAGCACTGGCCGGGTAAATTGAAAGCTGAAATCAGAGAATGATTTGGGTTTCTCTGGCTCTCCTCCAAGGGTATTATTCATCTGGAGTGATTATTAGCTGCTTAGCCCTGGTGAAGTGAATACCCAGGCAGGATTCAGCCTCCCACTCCTTCTTTCTCCTGCTGGAACAGGACAGAGGGAGTTGATAGATTATCCATGGGCTTCCATGTTCTTGTTCACCAGATTTGTATTTCTCACCTGCCTTGCTCTGGTGCACAACAGGGATGTCCTGTGGCAAAGGGGACAGGGAGAGGATTGCCAGGGTTTGGTGGTGGTGGTGGCAGCATCACTTCATGTCTCTTTACAACTCCCTGAAAGAAGGTTGTAGTGAGATAAGGGTGGTCTCTTCTCCCAGGTAACAAGAGACAGGTTGAGAGGAAATGGCCTCAAGTTGCACCAGTGGAGGTTTAGATTGGATATTAGGAAAAATTCCTTTACTGAAAGGAATTGGAAAGGCATTGGAACAGGCTACCCAGGGAAGTGGTGGAGTCTCCATCCCTGGAAGTGTTTAAAAAAATGGTGTTCTTTGAGCCTGGGGTTCTGTCTGATAAGGGCATGGAATGATAAGACAAGGTGGAATGGTTTCTAACTGAAAGAAAATAGGTTTAGATTGGATATTGGGAAGAAATTCTTCCCTGTGAGGATGGTGTGGGAGCCCTGGCACAGGCTGTCCAGAGAAGCTTTGGCTGCCCCCTCCCTGGAAGTGTCCAAGGCCAGGTTGGGTGGGGCTCTGAGCAAGCTGGGATAGTGGAAGGTGACCCTGCCTGTGGCAGAGAGGTTGGAACAAGATGATCTAAAAGGTCCCTTCCAATCCAAACCATTCCATGATTCTGTGAAATGTCTGGAGAGACACCACGAGATCAGTCAGGGAATGCTTGTTCTTAGAGGATCTACCTGGCTCCACCAACCAACTATTCTGTGCTTCTCTGTCTCCAGGTGGATCTTTATATCTAGGCATTATAGCTGATCTTAAGAGGCCTCCCAAACCTTCAAAAATATTTGCATAAAAGCTTTTTGCTCTTGGAAGAGAAAGTTCCTCAGGAACCTGTGGTTTTAATTCAAGGACACCCTTACCTTCCCTTGGGAAAGATCCTCTATGCCAGTAATTAAAGCCTTTGAGCTGTCTAGGAAATTCTGACTTCACTGTTTAGGAAGGTGACACAGCACAGCAAGGTTGGGCATGGAGAACAAAGCAAACAGTGCCTCAGCTTGCAGGGCAAGGCTAAACCACTTGGAAACTTAGAGAATCCTAAAATAATGCTGAGAACAGCTCTGCTCATGGGCTTTTTTCAAACAGGAACTGCTTGGGCTGTAGGGTGTGTGTTGCTCCTTCCAGAGGATGGTTTATGGGCTGTGTGGATCAACGGCTGGCAGGACTGGAGATGGTCACACAGAGTTACAATCCATAGGGAATGCTCTGGAGAGTGAGAGCAAGCTTGTGGGGGTGTTTTTGTTTGTTTGTTTTAGCTGGAACAATTTAGAAGAGCCCCAAAATCATCCCAGAAGGAGCTATTGGTAGTCAGGTACCATCATTTTTCCGTAGGGTAATTGTACTCTTTGGGGTGTTTATGGTCCAGCCATCCCATGAGTCTTGCAGTGTAGCTGCTTTGCCTGAAATTCCTGTTTTCAGGATGTCTAATCTGCAGAATCCAAAGCTGTCTGAATTCCTGGCTGCATGTCCTGCAT